TATTGCTAGGAGGTGCTATTCCTTGGAAAGAAACATGATGTTGGGAAGGTTGGAGGGTTGGTGAAGGAGAGGAAGACCCTCAACCAAGTGGATTAACATGGTGACTGTTGCAATCGGCTCTTGTGTGTCAGGAAATGTGAGGATGGCTCAGGACAGGACTGGGTTCATATCTTTTGTTAATAGGGTTGCTGTGAGTTGTACTCGACTGGATGGCACCTAACAATAACAACAACAACATTCTTTTTTTTTTAAATTTTATTATTTTGTGTGTGTGTACCATCAAATTGGATCTGACTGGTACAGGAGAAGATGGCCCCTCCTTCTCCAGCAGAGCATCTGGTGGATTCAAACTGCATATCTCCGGGACTGCAGTGAACAACAACATTCTTGAAAAAGATTTATGGATATAAATCATATCTTCCTGGCCAAAATGTCCTTACTTTTTTTTTTAAATGTCCTTAATTTAATAAAACTTTAACACTTCCAACCTCCTCTGGGTCACCACAGTAGTTAGTAGAATTCTTTTTTTCCAATAATAGTATTTTTAATTTTAATTGTGATTTTTTAATGAAAGTTTACAGAAAAGTTGAATTTTCATTCATTCGTTGATTTTTGCACACTCCCCCAACTCCCAGTCCTCTTTGTAATGTACCTTTTATTTTAGACTCTTGTCATACATAAAATGCTTGATTGGTTTGTATCATTCTTATGGCTTCTGTCACCCTTTTATTTGGACATGAATATTTGGTCCACATTCCCCACTTGTGGGCCCTAAGAATACACTAGATCCACAACAAAACCTGTTTCCATCAAATGAGTTCTGACTGATAGTAACTCAGCTGAATTGGGTAGAACTGTCCCCTAGAGTTTCCAAGGCTGTAAAAATGCTGACTGTCCACATCTTTCCTCTGAGGAATAACTGGTGGGTTCAAGCAGCTGATCTTTCCTTTTGGTTAGCAGCAAGAGCTGCACCATCAGGGCTCTTTGGAGTCACAAAACCAAAACCCACCACCATAAAGTTTATTCCAACTTCTAAGACAGAGCAGAACTGCCTCATCAGGTTCCTGAGACTGTAAATCTTCATGGAAGAAGACTGCCTCATCTTTCTCCCCTAGAGATGCTGGTAAGTTAGGCTTTTGGTTAATAGATATATGTCTTAACCACAGTGTCACCAGAGTTCCTATATCTACAAAAAGAAAAATAAACCCACTGTCTTTTAATGAGTTCAGACTTACTGAAATCCAACGCTCTAGCCTTCTCATGAGCTGTCTGGTGGATTTAAACTCCTCACTTTTCCTTTAGCAGTCAAACTTGTAACCCACTACCCAACCACATAAAATGAGAGCTCATTGTTGTGGAGACAGAACTCACCCATAAGTGACTGTCCAGTGGGTTTTCTGAGGCTTGCCTTTGGGTTGGCAACACAACTCTTTATGTAGTAGGCCACCTGAGCTCCCTTTTACACACACACACACAGAGAGAGAGAGAGAGAGAGAGAGAGAGAGAGACCTCCCCTCACTTTTCTTAGTTAATTCTCAAATTTTAACTCATATTAGCCCACCATCAGGTTTCTAGCCCATTAATCATTATATAGGAGACTGCCCATCTCTCTCCTTCAAGGAGGCTAGTAGATTTGACCTGCTGACATTTTAAAAACCACACAACATATAATATACCACATCCCCAGAGCTCCAGTATATCCACAATCTTAAAACTCACATTCATGTGCATTAATTCAAATATATAGCAACTCTCCAACAGTTTCTCAGGCTGGAGTGCCCATCTTTCTCCTCATTTGGATGAGAGAGGTGTGGCCTTTTGGTTAGCACTGCAACACCCTGCAGATTACACCACCTTTTATCAATTTCATCAAATTGGAGCCCATTCCTAGCTGATCTTGCTGTGTTCTCAGAGGCTATAAATCACACAGGAGAAGACTGTCCATTTTTCTCCTGCATAACAGCTGGTGGACTCAAACTGCATGCCTTTGAGTTGGCACCACAGCTCCTTACCATTATGGCACCAATGCCCTTGAGTTAGTTGGCTATGACTCACAGTGACTCCATGAACAATGAATCTGAACCTTGTCCTATCTTGGTGCCATTCTCACCACTTCTGACATACCTGAGTTCATTGTTACAGTTACTGTACTGTATTAACCCATTTTGTTGAGGGTCTTCTTTTCTTTCATTGACTCTTCACCTTTCTAAGTATAATGTGCCAAGGACTGACCCCTCCCAACAACAAGCCCAAAATGAGATAAAGTCTCATTATCCTTGTTTCCAAGCAGCACCCAGGTTGAGCTTTCTCTTAGTTTGTTCTTTTGACAATCCATGGGGTACTCAGTACTCTTCTCCAACACAACAACTCAAACCCATCAATTTTTCTAGCATCCTTATTCACTTCAAACTTTCACATGCATAGCAAATACTTGAAAAGACCGTATCTTAAATCATCTTAGTCTTTAAACAGAAATCATTGCTCCGTAACACCTTGGTGAAGTCTCTGACAGCAAATTTTCCCAATGACATACTTTTACTAGAAATACAATAGTAAAATAAAGGGAGCTCTGGTGACCTAAGTGGCAAGAAACTGCATTGCAATTCCTGAGGTGCCCGGTTCGAATCCACCAGATGCTTTACTGGAGAAGGAGGGACCATCTCCTCCTGTACCAGTCAGATCTAATTTGACTGTACACACATACCAAAAAAAAAAAAAAAATTTAAAAAGCCCACTAAAATGAATAAACCCTACGGAGTACAGTTCTAGTCTGACATACATGTGTTCGCATCAGAAAAGTCTTGATGAAAGGTGATGTCGATATAGTGTTCCTTGCATTTAGCAGAGGCCCTGAATTACATCATCAGATCTCCTGAATATCCACATAGAATAGTCGTACATAGTTACAGATAAAACCAAACAAAATTAAGTTTGAACAAATCAGTTCTCTGTTCCTTAAACCCACTACTGTGATTCCCTTCATGAGAAATTAAATGATCCCAGAAAAATTATGATACAATAAAAAAAAGCCGAGATTTCAGATTCTTACTAATAATGCAAGCCCTTGTACTTTAGCGTCAGAGACATGCGTTTGAACGTGACCTGTGGCACTAGTTGACGGACTACCTTAGTTACTTAATCACTTTCCTTATCTGTAAAATAGGGACGAGTACATCGTGCTTTTGAGGGTGGCTGTGAAAATGGGAGAAAATGTCAGTAAAATGCATGGCAGGTCATACACCTCCTCTAAATGCGAGACATTGTAAATATTAAGATTTGGGTTGATGTGTCCCCACTTTCGCTCTTTGTCCTGTTAAGAATTTTCTCAACTTGGTTATTGTGTCCCGAGGAATTGGAATGGACTCGATCCTGCAAACGGGTTTTCAGAGGCTGTAAATCGCAGGGGAGGTGATTGTCCATATTTCTTTTGTGGCGTTCCTTTCGCAGTATCTGACCACCACTAAATCACCAGCGATCCCTCTCATACTCGCAGTTAAATGAATTGTTACAAAGTAAGCTAAGAAAATTATTTTCACCAGAACCTCATTTGGTCAATGTTGTTGTTGTTATGTGCCATCGAGTCGCTTGCGACTCATAGAGACTCTATCTATGTACAAGAGCCCTAAACCCTGCTCTATCATGTGCCAACCGCATTGTCTCCAACACATCTACTCCCACTGCCCCAATCACTGAATCAATGCATCTCATCGAGGGTCTCCTTTCCTGCGCGGTCACTCCATCTTCCCAAACATGACGTCCCTCTCTAAGGACTGGTCCCTCCTTGCAACATGCCCAAAGTATGTCAGACGAAGAATCCTTGCCTCCAAGGAGCAGCCCGGCTTCACCCTCTCCAGGACAAACCTGTTTGTTCTCTTAGCAGTCCATGGTATGTATATTCCACAATCTTCTCCATCACCACACCTCAAAGGCATCAATTCTCTATCACCCCTAGTCATTGTCCAGCTCTCTGATGCATAGCACGCAATTGCGAAGACTATAGCCCGGATCAGGTGCACCTTAGTCTCCAGCCCAACGTCGTTGCTCTTCAGTACTCTTGAGAGGTCCCTGACAGCTGACTTTCCCAGTGCAATTCGTCTCTTGATTTCCTGGCTGCTGGTACCAAGAGTGTTGACTGTGGAGCCAAGCAAACTAAAACTGTTAATTATCTCGATCTCTTCACCATCTATACTAATGCTGCCAATTGGACCAGTGGTGAGAATCTGTTTTCTTGATGTTGAGCTTCAATTCATTTTGAAGGCTTAAGTCCTTCACCTTCCGCAGCGAGAGCTTTAGGTCCTCCGCAGTTTCAGCAAGCTGCTTTTTGATCAATGAGTTACCAATAAAGTTTTCATGAAAACAAAATCCTGTCATTTCCGTTTCAATAAAGCTTTGTTGGGGGGGGTGGTGAAGAACGAAGAAGAAGAGAACGTTTATCGCGGGAGCCTGCTGAAACGCGTTTCTTGCTAGAGTCTTAGTCTCGCGTTGTTTGACAAAACAAGCGAGATGTAAAGTGGAGCACGAGACCTGATGAAGTCTCGCGATATTTCCTGGGCTTTCCCCCTCCCCCTATCCCAAGTGCCGTTTCGGTTTAACCTAGTGTGTTACTGTGAGTCCGAGGGAACGATTCAGTGTATGAGGTGTTGAGGGAAAGCCGGGGGAAGGAAAAGGACTCCCTTAGGAGCGAGGGACAAAGGCAGCGTGAGGCACCTAGGCCGCGGGATTCCAGCTACAGGAAGCTGCCCCGAGCCGGACTACTGGGTAGGAGAAGGGCCCGCGTAGTCCTCACAGGGCCCCAGAGCTGGAGTCGGCCCCACGGCCCTGGGCCGTCGGCTTAGTACTTCCTCAGCGTCACTGGCTCCGGGTTGGCTCGGTGCGGGGAGGAAAGAAAACAGACTAGAGCAGCTACCCCTGGTCTCGCAACTCCACTGCTGAGGAACTCTCGTTTCTCCTCTGGCTCCTTTACCCCCCACCTCATGTAGGAGGGTGCTGAGAGAGTTGGGAGGGAGGAGGAGCCTGGCTACTGCCCCTTCCCTCCCCACCCCCTTCTAGGGGCGCTTTGGTGCGTGTGGATTTGGGGCTGGGGGGGAGGGTGGGGCTTACTTTGCGAAGTGCTGGGGAACTTTTTTCCCCTCCTTGAGGCCAGGGGAAAGGGCATGCCCAATTCAGAGAGACATGGGGGCAAGAAGGACGGGAGTGGAGGAGCTTCTGGAACTTTGCAGCCGTCAACGGGAGGTGGGAGCTCCAACAGCAGAGAGCGTCACCGCTTGGTGTCGAAGCACAAACGGCACAAGTCCAAGCACTCCAAAGACATGGGCTTGGTGACCCCCGAGACGGCCCCGCTGGGAGCCGTCATCAAACCTCTGGTGGAGTATGACGACATCAGCTCGGATTCCGACACCTTCTCCGACGACGTGGGGTTCAAACCGGACCGGAGAGACAACGACGAGCGCCGGGGAGCCGATCGCGGTGACCGCCTGCACAAGCACCGTCACCACCAGCACCGACGGTCGCGGGACTTCCTCAAAACCAAACAGGCCGACAAAGACAGAACCCAGGAGGCGGCCAGCAAGTCGGCGTCGGCCAAGGACCGGCTGACGGGAAGCTCCAAGCGCTCCAACGAGGAGAACGAGGACTACGGGAAAGCGGCCCCGTCCAAGAGCAGCAGCAGCAAAGAGGCCCGGTCATCCAGGCTGCACAAGGACAAGACCCGCAAGGAGCGGGAGCCGAAGTCGGCCCACAAAGAGCGGAGTAAAAGTCATCGGAAAAGGGAAACACCCAAGAGTTACAAAACGGTGGACAGCCCTAAGCACAGATCCAGGAGTCCCCACCGGAAGTGGTCTGTCAGCCCCAAGCAAGACGACAGCCCCTCGGGAGCTTCTTATAGCCAGGATTACGACCTTAGCCCCCCGAGGTCTCATGCATCCAGCAATTACGATTCCTACAAGAAGAGTCCCGGAAGCACCTCCAGAAGGCAGTCGATTAGCCCCCCTTACAAGGAGCCCTCGGCCTACCAGTCCAGCACCCGATCCCCCAGCCCTTACAGCCGACGCCAGAGGTCTGTGAGCCCCTACAGCCGCCGACGGTCGTCCAGCTACGAGCGAAGTGGCTCCTACAGCGGCAGATCCCCCAGCCCCTACGGGCGAAGGCGCTCCAGCAGCCCGTTCATGAGCAAGAGATCTCTGAGCCGGAGTCCACTTCCCAGGTGAGTGTCTTGTCTTCACAGCCCTTTGGGTCGAGGTTAGGCTTTGAGGCGCTCGGTATTAGCTATGTTGACCTTTGGAGCCCCGAGTGCCCTAGGCATCCATCGCTGACTGGGTCTCTGGCTAAGCTTGCAGCAGGTGGCTCTGGCCGCTCTGTGTAACCCAGAATTAGAGAAGCAGAGGCCAAGACAGCTGAAGGTAGGTAGTCGCTCGAGGGAGCGACTGCTTCACTCGCCAGGTCCTGGTCGAGGAAGAACTTACACAGAGCGATGGTACCCAGAATGGTGCCCAGAGCTTGTCTAGCTATTTCTTTTGCTTCATATTAGTTTGGTTCCCCCCCCCTCCTTTTTTCAATACCACCTTAGTCTTTTGAAAACACTATTAGTACTTTATACTTTACTGACCCTAATTGGAGAACTAAGCAATTACAAATTTTCCTTTGTATTATCTTGAGGCTATTTGATTAGTCCATCTTACCGGGTGTGCTGTCATCCAAACATGTAAGTTTATTCTTTTCCTAATTGAAGGTGTTTTTATAGCTTATTAAATACTTGTAGCTTTTTAATGGATTTTTATGCTGGAAATTTAGAGTGAGTCCTTTTCCCATTTAATGTCATGTTGTGTGCTTTGGCATCGGAACTACCCTTTGCTTACCCTCCAGTGGCTTTTCAGAGGCAGTTAATTTTCAAGGAGGAGATTGTCCATCCTCCCGTGGACCAGCTGGTGGATCTGAACCACTTTTCCCTCATGATTACAATGTTCCTACCACTAGGCCACCAGAGCAGCAAAAACAATTTAATGGTTTTTTTTCCCTTTCTTTTTAACACATACAGCCTATCATTTTTAGAAATATTTCAGTGATATATTTCATTATTCAGTAGTTTACCTTTATTATGTTGTGCAGCTATCAACATTATCTATTTCTCAGTTACTTGATTACTGTTAACCTCCATATTCCCGAAGTATGGACTCCTCTTTCCCCCCCATTTTCTCTTGTCTCTGGTAACCACCAGTAAACTTTGTTCTATATACATTTGCCGTATCTAGGTAATTAAGTGAGCTCATACTGTACTTATCCTTTTCTACTGATGTTTCACTTAGAACAGTGTCTTCCAGGTTCTCATTTTTCTTTATGGCTGAATAATATCCCAATTTGATTTTCTCTCCTTCAACCTTCTTTAGGGTCAATGTCAATTTTTAAACTCTCTTAAAAATCTCTAATAATGCCTTCATGATAATACTTTTGTGAGAAAAGCTTGTTTGTTTGAAATTCTGTTTGAGTGTATTATCTATGAGAAACAATTTTGTTCCTTCATGGTGAACTGTATACTTTCTTTTTGGACTCAACTTTTGTTTGAAAAAGTACAACTTGGGTTTTAGGGTCACATATGACTAGAATATGTTTTGCAACCTTTGGCCAATGATTTAACTTCACCATGCTTGAGTTTCTTTATTTTTAAACTGATACCTATCTATTCCTAGCTTTATTGTGAGGATTAAATTAATAAGGAGTGTATAGCATATTGCCTTTACAGAGTATTACTTCAATGAGTTCTGTCGGTGAGTGAGAATAATGTAAAGAGTAGTAGATAGGAAAATTATGCTAATTTGAAAAATTAATGCATTTTATATGTAATTTGAGCAATTTTTGCTGCCATAATTATTCATAAATTAGTTTGGATACATTTAGCTACAGGTTTTCTACAGCCCAACATCTGAAGTTTCTTGAGTATTTTTCCTTATATTTAAGTTAATAAAAAGTCTAAAATACAAAAAAGTTGAAAATTGTACAATGAATAATAGATATGTATCACCTAGATATTTAAAGTTCAAGTTTTTTGTTGGATGCTTTTTTTTTAAGGGTAATGAGTTGAATTTATGTATAGTAAAATGCACATTTTTTTTAAATTTTATTTTTATTATTTGTGTGCGTGTACTGTCAAATCAGATCTGACTGGTACAGGAGGAGATTGCCCCTCCTTCCCCGGCAGAGCATCTCGTGGATTCAAACCGTGCACCTCTGGGATTGTTAAAATGCACATTTTAAGTGTTCCATTTGTAAGATTGTTTAGTTTTTTTAAGGAACCTTTAAAAAATGCTTTCATACTGTTTGTTTTCTTGAATGAGTTGTTTTCATGAAGATTGAGAACTTTTGCAGTGAAAGGGTTTCAGAATACAGGATTACATTGAAGCGAAAAAATACCTCAGCAAATTTCAGTTAACAACATCTTTGCAGTGATTCCTTTTGGATTCTTAGAGAAAACAGCACATCTGAAGTTCTCCATTTTACTAGTTTAATTGTAAGTAGTGCAATAATAGGGAAAAAGTAGAGACAATACAGTAGTGTAGAATGCAAACAGTACTCACTATGTACTTTTGTTGGAGTCATGAGTACAGTTTAGTTGACTAATGGGAGCATTAGATGTTTGTATTTCATATTTTTCCTTGTTCACTAGAATCCAAGCAGTAAGTAAACAGGTAAAATATGGCATGGTTGCTATATGAAGTTTTTTCTCTTACATGAATAAGCTATTTTATTTTGTTGCTTTTTAAAAATTCTTTGATAAAGATAAAGGGAAATACTGATTATTTGAATTGGGGGAGCATTTGTTCTAGACTACTAGACAAATTTTATTTTGTCCAGTCACACTTTTAGTGTTTTTTTTGTTTTTTGTTTTGTTTTTGCCTTCGCACTGAAGTCTATACAGGTTAGACTTCAGTACAAAAAAAAAGAAAGAAAGTTGGATTTCCATTTAGAATAATCTGCCTCATAAGCTCTTATTTTGTTGCCTAATTCTTTATGAGGAAAATAAATTAAAAAGCTCAATAATACCTTGCTTTCTTAGTGTCTATTAAAAATACCAGTGTACTATTATAAGCATACTTTATTATGAATAAATGATACAAAGAAGAAAAGATTTTCCTAGTCTCTTCCAATTAAATACCACTTTAGTGAAAAAAATTTAAGCTTTGGTAAGCATACCACTGGTTACATTTTATTAATTTTTATTTTATATTGATTTGCATACAAAGTACTGATTAATTCCTAAGTGTGTGTATCTCTCCTTAGTATAGCAAATAACTTATTTTTATTTGAGGTTTAAAGCAAAATTATTAATTGTGAATTTGGCTATTCCTAAATTTGAAAAAAAAAAAATTAAATTCAGTTTCCTTTAGTTGGATGTTGCAGTGTACCATAGAGTTGGAACCAACCCCTAGCTGACCCTCCAGCAAGTTTTCAGAGGTAATTAATTCCATGGTAGCAAATTGCTGATCCTTCTCTCACAGAGGAGCTTGTGACCTCAAACAGCATGTCTTCAGGCTTGCAGCACAGCTTCTTGCCACTAGGCCACCTGAGTAGATAATTTTTTTGTTGTGTAGGGTTTATTTCCTTCTTATAAGTTATTAAACATTTTAGAACAGTTTTAAATATACAGAAAAACTGTGAAGTTATACATGTTGTTAAGTGCCATCGAGTTGCAGGCAACTCATAGCGACCCTATGAAGGAGAGTCCTCACCGCTTGTGCATCTTTCATCCTCTCTCCAGGTTATATTTCACACCCAGTTTCCCTTATTAGCATTTTAGTGGGGTACACTTTTTGCAGATAATAAACCTGTACTGATAACATTTTTAAATTAACTTTTATTGTTAGTTGAATGAAAGTTTATAGGCAAATTGGTTTTCCATGCAATAGATCGTATACATTATATTTGTGATACTAAATCAGTATCATGTTCATGGTATAACAGCACCCCTCATTTTCTCCGTTTCTGTTCATCTTTCTTTTCTGTCTTATACATTATTATTAACTAAAGCCCCTATTTCGTTTATTTGTATTTCCTTAGTTTTGTCTAATGTTCTTTTTACTGTTCTAAATCTGTTGAGGATTATTGTGTGCAAAGATTTTCACTCATAGTGATCTTACAGGGCAGAGTTGAGATGCCCCATGGGGTTTTCAAGGTTCTAATCGTTATGAAACAGATTGCCCCATTTTCCCCATATATAGTGACTCTTGGGTTCAAACCATTGACCTTTGACATAGCAGTCAGGTACTTAACTACTGTGAAACCGGATTTCCTTTCTATCTGAGAAACCACATTATATTTAATTATTCTTACTCCATGGGCTCTTCACTGGAACAGTTTTTCAGACTTATTTCTGATGACGCACAGTATAGTTCTCCGTAATTTGTTTTATTAATCCGTTTTCCTCCATGTATTGCTGTAGTCTGGTTATTCTAAAGTGCCTTTTCCCCTTTTTTTCCTGTAGGAAATCCATGAAGTCCAGAAGTAGAAGTCCTGCATATTCAAGACACTCTTCTCATAGTAAAAAGAAGCGATCCGGGTCACGTAGTCGGCATTCCAGTATCTCACCTGTCAGACTTCCGTTGAACTCTAGCCTGGGAGCTGAACTCAGTAGAAAAAAAAAGGAAAGAGCAGCAGCAGCTGCTGCAGCAAAAGTGGATGGGAAGGAATCTAAGGGTTCACCTATATTTTTGCCTAAAAAAGAGAACAGTTCAGCAGAGACTAAGGATTCAGGCTTGGAGTCTAAAAAATTACCCAAGGTTATAAAATTGGAAAAACCTGCTCCAGATACTGAACTGGGGAATGTAACACATTTAAACACAGAGGTCAAAAATTCTTTAGATACAGGGAAAGCAAAATTGGATGAGAACTCTGAAAAACATCTTGTTAAAGATTTGAAAGCACAGGGAACATCTAAAGACTTTAAGCCTGTAGCATCAAAAGAGGAGATTGTTACTCCAAAGGAAGCAGAGACATTGGAAAAGGAAATTCTTCCACCTCTCCCCACAGTTACTTCTGCACCTCCTTTACCAACTACTACCCCTCCACCTCAGACACCTCCTTTGCCACCTTTGCCTCCACTACCAGCTCTTCAACAACCACCACCTCTGCCTCCTCCCCAACCAGCATTTAGTCAGGTTCTTGTTTCCAGTACTTCAGTTTTACCCTCTTCAGCTCACCCAAGGACATCTACTCTGCCCTCTCAGACAAATTCTCAGCCCTCAGTACAGGTTTCTATGAAATCTCAAGGGTCCGTAACAGCTGCTGTTCCACATCTGAAGACATCAACATTGCCTCCTCTGCCTCTCCCACCGTTATTACCTGGAGATGATGACATGGATAGGTAAGTCACTTAGTTAACTTAAAAAAATGAACCCTTGTGATTCATAAATAATGTCAACTTCGAAGAATAAGAACATTTTTCTTTAAAATTATAGTACCTCCCTCCCTCTAAAATGACAAAAAAAAGTTAATTTTGTAAGAAAGTTATGTCGGTTGTAATATTTAATCAGATATTATGTTGTTAGGTTCCATTGAGTCTGTTTTTTTTCTCCTAAACCCATGGTACAGAATAGAACTTAGCAATATGGTTTTCTGGACTATAATCTTTATCAGAGTAGATCACCTGATCCTTCTCTTACAGAGCCATTATGTGAATTTTAATTACTAACATTCCTTTTAGCAGCTGAGCACTCAACTCTTCTGCTGCCAGGACTCCTATAAGATATTCTTAAAACTCCCAACTTCTTTTTGTTGAGTCACAAGCAATTCATAGTTAAATTGCACCAGAGGAGATTGTTCATTTTTCTACTGGAGTGTTTAGTGAATAGGATGCAAAAATTAATGTAGAATCTTTACTGATTAGAATATACTTCACAGTGGAATAATAGGAAATTTAATGAATTCTTTTGAGTGTTGAGAGTGATACAGATATGAATTTGGTTTTAGGAAAGCATTAGAGACACACTTACTTAATTTCTTGGCAAGAACCACCAAACATTCTTTAGCAAGTATAGTGATACTTACCAAGACAGTCTTTATGTTACTGCTATGTTACTTCAAGCAGATCCTACCTCTATGTTCCCTAGGGTATTAAGTTCCATGTGTTACAGCAAAATTGTTTGTTTTTGTTACAGCAAAACTGTAAGCAGAAAAATATGTTCAACTGATGTTGTATACTAGACCTTTTCCTAAGATTTCATTCCGTTCCAGATGACTTTAGTAATTCAGATAGGGATACATTTCAGCCTTTTAGATCTGTATTCTTCCAAACTCCTTTCTGCCTTTTAAGAATGTGCAAATAAATTAATGGGGGGGGGGAGGCGACAGACAGACACTGCTTAAAAGAATGGCATAAAGTGCATCTTATTCAAGCCATGATCTTTTTAATCACTTGCTGTGGATCTGAGGGTTAGACAGTGAGTAATGATAACAGAAGAGTTGATGCCTTTGAGCTGTGGTGGTGGATAAGAACTCTGAAAAATTGCATGGATTTCCCAAAAAACAAATATGTCTTGGAGACAGGATAACGACGGTGCTCTTTGGAGAAAAAGATGATGAGACTTCGCCTCACATAGTTTGAGCTTTTTGCAAAGGAGGGCCTATTCCTTGGAGAAGAACATGAAAGTTAGAGGGTGAACAAAGGAGAGGTAGACAGACCCTCAACCAGGTAGATTGACATGGTGACTGCCACAGTGGGCTCCAGTGTATCAGGAAGTGTGAAGATGGCACAGGATAGGACAGGGTTCAGATCTGTTATTCATAGAGTTGCTGTGGATTGTACTCAACAACAATAGAGGTGAAAACAGACATGCTCTTTCCTTTACAGTCACAGCTTTGGACACAGCCACAGTCATGATGTTGATGCCTAAGAACTGGATTGCCATATATTTGTCCTTATGGGACTGAGTTGACTTAGCATAATGTTCTTCAGTTCCTCCCAAGTTACAGTCACCAAACTTTTGACCAGTAGTTGAACTTAAATATCACCTAGACACACTTTTTTTTTTAAATTTATTTCATTATTTTCTGTGTGTACCGTCAAATCAGATCTGACTGGTACAGGAAGAGATTGTTCCTTCTTCTCCAGAAGAGCATCTGGTTGCAGCTTCTTGCCACTAGGCCACCAGAGCTCGCCACCTAGAGACTCTTGAGTACTTAATAGAACTGTTTTTTACTGAATGAGCTCCATTGAAGGGTAAAGACTATCGTATTAGACCGTCATTATTAAAGAGTTGGTTTAACAAAGATTTGAGCTCTGTTCAAATAGTTCATTCCATATCTTATATTCGTTCTTTCATAAACAGACAAGAACTCTACGTTTCCAAAAGCAAAATTTTCTTAGTAGCAAACATTAAACTTTGGAGAAAATAAAATGCAGTTGTAAAACTATTTCAGCTTGCTTGAATAGATGATGAGATAATTCAGATAATTTTCTTATTCTTCCAGTGAAGGACAACTAAGAAGATGGATTTTTCTGAATAGTGAAGAATTGAGATGTTTTAAGAATATTTTGACTTTGGTAGTTGAGATAGGGATTTTTCTTTCCTAAGGTATAAAAATTGGAAAATTTAAAAAAATTGCTCTGATAATCCTGATTTCAAGATTTCATTTTACACTGCCCAGTTCTTGTTTATGCATGGTACAGTGTAACATAGATTGTTTTCATTCTGTCTCATTTATATAAGAATGAAAATTGATAAAAGTAGTAAGTTTTGAAATTGTATTATTTTATATTTAGAATATTCTTTATTGGAGATGTTAGAAGTTTGCTTACAAAGGGCAGCAACATGATTTAAGGTCCATTGCAAGGGATTAGGGTTTTGGGTTTGTTTGGGTATTTTTTTTTTACCAGTGGCAGTATCTTATTTCAGTATTATAAAAGAGAATTAACATTGATATCAGGAAAAGGTCTAATTATTAGATCCCATGCTTCCCTTTAAACTTTCTACTTTTATTATGATATATATAGGTCTACGACCTAAAGAGAGCACTTAAATTTACTAGTAAAATCTATGGCAAAATATTGTTTGGGTATTTTGCAGAATAGCATCCAGCCAGCTTAAGGCCATTTGCAGCATGGGAAAAGATTAAACTCACCTGGAATAAATTTGTTTGATTAAAAAGAGAAAAACTTAAGAAAACAATAAAAACAAGTCAACAATCAACTCCACCAATAATTGAAAACCACTGTTCTTCCTTAGTTCCATACTTCTCCATTAATTGCACATTTGTTTGGGTATTTTTAGGATACTGTGAATATGCTTGTTAAAAATTTTTGGATTTTTTCCCCCCCTTCTCCATAACAATCTGTCAGAAAATAGAGGATTTTATTATGACTGAGATTTTTTTTTTTTACTGTGATATTTCTTTTTTTTTCTATAATTATATTTTATTAATTTTCATAAACATTTACAGAGATTTTGGGTTTCCATTCATTCATTGTTGCACTGTGACTGAGATTCTTAATTAATACCACAAAGAAAAAATTTACTGTCTACCATGATTTGATTTGTGGGCATGCATTAGTATGCTCTCCTATAGGTTCCTGTCTTTTCTGAGGATATTCATAATGCTGAATCGTTTCTTTATTCATAGATAAATTGAGATGTTAAAAGGTTGCTGCTGAAAACGTACTTTTTCTTTCTATTGCAGGAAAGCTATGTTTTCCCACTCTTATCACCCTACCTTAAATTTATTCATTATCCCCTCCCTCACCATACCACCCTTGCTCTCAGTTTTTTTTTGAGAGGATTTTAACTGGTTATCAGGGGGAAGAATATAAGGAAGGAAGGAGTTAAAGGGCATGTGGACCTTCCACCCCCTCAAGCCCCTCTTTTACCCCTAAATCTCTACTTTGTCCAACTGCCTTACCTTTCTTGTTCTTGTAAATTGACCTAGCCAAGGACCTGCCAGTTTTTTTCTGCTGTCTCCTGATGTAAATACACTATTTTTTTTTCCTTTAAAAATAATTTAGTACTATTCAACCTTGCCCCTTCCCTCCTCCAGCTGTATTTCAGCTTCTATCTTATGCCCTTAAGGTGTCTCTCCTCCCCCTATCCTAGAGGATTGGGAGAAATAGAAAAGTTCCTGATAATTTTAGTTTCCACTGTAAGGCTTTTCTGTGTACAAACCTTCATGCAATACATTATTGACATAAAAAAAGAGGAAAAAATTTAGACGTTACCGTGAAGGGCTGGCTTTTTGTTGCCAACTTGACATAATGTTTTTGAGGTAGTTTGAGATTGTTTTGCTGTACATTTTTAGTTTGAAAGTTATTTACTGATAAATGTTGCTCAGAGATATTGTACTTCATATCAATAAAAGAATTCCATACAGTTCCACAATTTTTATTTTCACTATAACTGTATTTTTTTTGCAAAATACTATGTTCTTTTTTTCCAAATTCTCTCCATTTCTTTGGGAATATAACTAAAAAAAAAACTCCCTGAAAATTAATAAAATATAATTATAGGAAAAAAAAAAACAACTCCCTGCAGTAAAGACAGTAAAGTAAACTCATTTGGAACCCAGCACTGGGTTTCCATGGCTATAAAGAACAATAGGATAAAGAGTGTCCATCTTTCTCCTGATGATCGATAAGAACCACTTCAATCTTTAGTTTTTGGTTTGGCATTGCAGTTTGGTACATAATATTGAAATGATGAGTGGTCTCCTCCCAGCCTTGGAAACCTAATAATAGGTTCGTATGAATTACAACCTGTTCATAATGGATGATTTTTAGTAATAGTTCTAAATTTTTGAGTGCTCATTATATATATTTTTGCTGGTTAAAATAAAGAGTAATTTTTATAAACTCTTTGAAATAAAATGTACTTTGTGACTTTTTCATGATTACTGCTTATGTTTTATTTCATTCCCGAGTATGCAAATATAAGGAACTTGAAGAAGATCATTTACATTTAGTACTTAAGTGTAATAATCCCAAATTTCACTGACCTTTTAATATGCTAGTAAGAGAAAGATGGACAGTCTCCTCTCAATGTGACCTAGAGCTTCTGAAAAGTCAGTGAAGTGACAACTTTGAGTTGCTTCCAAATAAGTGGTGCTGAGTTAATATGCCATAGATTTTGTTTTGCAAAGCTAAGTTTTTAAAACTCTGATAATCTTCCTTTTTTAGACCTTATGGTGGAGTTTGTTCCTCCTTAAAAGTGAAATAGTTACGGTATTTTAATAGCCTGGTATTATAATCTTTGAAAACTTTTGTTTGCTTATTTTAAAAGTAATTGTGATCAATGTCTTCTCTTCTCCTCCATTGTTTAGTCCAAAAGAAATTCTTCCTTCAAGACCTGTAAAAAGAGAGAAGGAACAGAGGACACGTCACTCACTCATGGACCTTCCTCTCCCTCCAGAGCTGCCTGGTGGGGATCCATCTCCTCCTGATTCTCCAGAACCAAAGGCAATCACACCACCTCAACAACCATATAAAAAGAGACCAAAGTGAGTTTTAGGAACTACCTTCCCCCCCCCTCAGATACATCAGATAGTTGGTATATTTTTTTCAGTTAATCTGTTGAACTCTGCATTCATCATAGTATAGGAGCTACCTATTCTTAATTACAACTTCTTTACCTTTGGGGCTAAACCTCATATTTTTATTCCATAATCTATGCCTGTAATATAAAAGTTTTTATGAAAGAAAGCATTTCTAAGAGACAGCTGTTCATCTGCATCTAGAGATAGCTGGCTGTGATTTCAAAAAGCAGTAATATCCAAAATATGTAACAGTTACTGACTTCATCTTGTCCTCTTGAGTTCATGATGAGTTGAGAGGTCATAGTGAATAATATTGAAGAAAAAAGACCTTTTATTCAGGATATGTCAACCATGCAGACGTAGGTGAATGATTAGTAAGAGATTTTTAAATCTTTAAACTACAGCGCTTAAATTGCTATTCCATTAAAGTGCTAGGATCAGTTTTAATCTTCTGATTTTCAGTATTTCTTTCTTAATAAAAACAATTTTATTTTACCAGTAGCCCCATGTTTTGGGGTTATTTTTCATTCTGTAGTTGAGGTAACTGAAAATAAACTGAACTTGGAAAGTAAGCAGTAAACATTATTAAACCTATAATTTATACTTAGGAGAGTCATAAAATAGTATGATTGTTTTACGTATTAATGATGTGTCTGGTAATAAAGAATGCCAGGATACAAGGCTCTGATGTATTGCTGGCTGTGATGGTTATGATTATGCCACTTTACCTAGACCATAAGTCTTAGCGTCTGTCAGGTTATATAATGTAATGAAAATCCCATAGTGTGAATTTTTGCATTATGACCTGGGTTTTGTAACCTAACCAACTTGAAAGTGGATCCTTTTCTTCTCCTTGGTTAAGAATGAGGACTTTTAAGTCTTCCTGAAGCTGATGCCTTTGTCTTGACCAGTGAGAAATACTAGTAAACTGTTTCTAACATTTGATTAATGTCTTTTTAATAAAGAAGGAATCCTGGTAGTAGTACATTATATTTTTTGCTAAGTGAAAAGCAGACAGTGTGAATCCACCAGCTGCTCTGAAAATTTATAAGCCTTGGAAGCCTGATGAAGGATTGCTGTAAGTTGCAATTAGCTTGACAGCAGTTTTTGAGTTTTTTAAGAGAAATAGATTCCTAAAATACTGGACCCAATGAAATCATCATAAAATAATTGTTTTCCTCATCCAGTAGAATTAATTTTTTTTTAAGTCATGCTTTTTATTTTGTTTTGTCTTTTTTAGAATCTGTTGCCCTCGTTATGGAGAAAGAAGACAGACAGAAAGTGACTGGGGAAAACGCTGTGTGGACAAATTTGACATTATTGGTATTATTGGAGAGGGAACCTATGGTCAGGTATATAAAGCCAAGGACAAAGATACAGGTGAGTATTGTCCTGGTAGCAAAGATGATTCAGTGATAAAATTTTCATTTTTCATGCAGGAAACTTGGAGTCAATTCTTAACCAGCACACCTTATGCACATCTACTACCCATCAGTAGAGTATTGCATTTAGCTGTGGTGCTAAATAGATTTTAGTAGGAACAAAATATCTAAGATGGACTAGGAAGAAAACTCTGGTGATCAGCCTGTGAGAACCCTTTAGAGTCTGATCCATAACCGTTCATGGGAATGCAGGACCAGGCAACACTTTTGTTGTGTGCAAATTGAGGGCTGACTCTACAGCAGCCAACAATAACAGAATATTGAGCAAAATTTTTATATTTCAGAAGGTTAATAATTTAGTAATGCTAGTGTCTTCTTCAGTGCTCAGGCCGTTCGTTCATAGGGTTGCTATGAGTCGTCTACGATTCAACGGCACCAAACAACAATAGTGTCTTCTTAGCACCGTGATTTTGTGTTGTTTTACTAAATAAAATGTTGCAGAATCAAACCCACCAGCCCCTCAGAAAGATTTAACAATCAATTTTGATAAAGATTATAACCTTGGAATCTCAGTTATTGTTAAGTGCCATTGAGTCGGAATAGACTCATAGCTGACCTTCCAGCAGGTTTTCACACAGGAGAACATTGACCGTCTTTGTCATACTGAGCAGCTGGGAGAGTAGAACTGACTTTGGGTGACTTTGGGTGGACAGTGCAATTCCTTTCTTTATTTTCATCAGTCTGTGGACTGTATTTTTGTGGCAGTATTTTTATGTTGTTGGCTGCTGTAGCCTATGTTCTGTTATGACACAACATTGTTGTTTGTTGTTGTTATGTGCCGCCGAGTCGTTTGCAACTCATAGCGACCCTATGTACAACAGCCCTAAGCCCTGCTCTATCCTGCGCCAGCCGCACGGCCTCTGACACACCCATCCCTATTACCCCAGTCACCGAATCAATCCATCTCATAGAGGGTCTTCCCTCCTGCGCCGTCCCTCCACCCTCCCAAGCATGATGTCCCTCTCCAAGGACCCATCCCTCCTGGCAACATGTCCAAAGTATGTCAGACAAAGCCCCAGAATGCTTGCCTTCAAGGAGTAGCTTGGTTTAATCCTCTCCAAGATGAATCTGTTTGTTTTCCTGGCAGTCCATGGTACATTCAGTACTCTTCTCCAGCACCACAGCTCAAAGGCATCAACTCTCCTTCTGTCCTCCCTAGTCACTGTCCAACTCTCTGATGCATAACAAGCGATTACAAAGACCATGGCCTGTATCAGGTGCACCTTAGTCTCCAGAGAGACACCATTGCTCCTGAGTACTTTAGAGAGGTCTCTAACAGCAGACTTTCTTACTGCATAGGATCAAAACTGTATCATATATATAATATGGATTCCATCTCAATGTCGGGATGACAAAAATCCTCACCACTGGGCCAATAGGCAACATTGGGATAGATGGAGAAAAGATTAAAATGGTCAAATTATTTCATCTTGATTAGATCCACAATCAGTATCTGTCTAAAAAAGAGAAAATAGGCCCTTGAGGCACAGGACCCTAAGCATCTCTGTGAAAGGGCCAGAGAGAGTAAAAATAACACAGCCTCTCACTTCTCCGGAGCAGAAAGCAGATGAAAAGCCCAGCCCCATGGTGTCTCTAGAGCCCCAGCAGCAGAGGTGTGATTATTCATTGCTGGCTCACAGACTCGCAGTTACGGTACCAACAGTGGGGTTTATTAGGGAAAGAAGTTGGAGAATTGGGGAGGCAAAGACTTAACACAATAATATTAACCCAAAGAAGTTCATGTTTTAGCCCAGTAGTTCCAAGGCACAAATCCTCAGTCCAAGTTCTGGTTTTGGTTCAGCAAGTAGTTTTTCTTTTCATCATCAGAGTAAAGAACAGCAAGATCTAACTGTGGCCAGCACAAATACAAGAAGCCTCAGGTCACACTTTGCCATCATTTATGCACAGCAGTGCCAATTTCTCCTCCACCCCCTGCTCTCACCTGAGTCTAGATGGATTGACAGGGTGACTGTACCTGTGGGCTCAAATATATCAGATATGATAAGATAGGTTTCATAATCTGTTATTGATAAGGTTTGTATGAGTCATACTCAGCACGTAGTAACAATAGGGGTAGTGCTGTTCTTCCTGTAGGGTGTGAATCAGAACCAAATAACCACAGTGGGTAATGTTAGGTGAGTTTGGCATTTCCTATTTGGTCTCCAAAATTTATTAAGTACTCTAAAATTGTTCAAAGAATAGTATAGTTACTAATTAATGTAAAACTTTGCTCTTTTTTATTGCTCATTATAAACATTTTTATAGCTCATTGAAAATGCAAGAAATGAGAAAAAGAAAAATTTATGTTGTTGTTTGTGTGATAAAGGGGCATTCTTAAATATAGAAGTTAATTATGAGTGTATTTTAGCCTTCTGAGTTTTTTAGTTTTAACTGAGTATTATATAGTCCTTAAACTATTTACCAATAAGCTAGTAAAGCAATAAAATACTGTTAAATGGGTCTAAGTTGATAGTTAACTATTTAGCTATCTGTTGTTAATAACTTAAATACTTCTAAATCTTGGGGGGAAAAACCTGTCTTAAAAGATGAGAGGAGCATAGAGTTGTGGGTTTTTCCCCCTTTAAGATATGTATATAAAAGGCACACAAGGATCTGGCAAATATACAACAATGAGTGAATATTTTTTAAAAAGTGAACCAAGAGAGGGGGAAGGAAGAGGGAGTAAGGAAAATGTACAATGAATGAGTGAAAATCCAACTTTTCTGTAAACTTTCATTAAAATCACAATAATTTAAAAAAAAAAATAGTATCTAATGGCTGGTTCAGGATGGTAACCAAAAGTGCTAATTAATAATAATAATAGTTTTACTTTATTTTGACAGGGGAATTAGTGGCCTTGAAGAAGGTGAGACTTGACAATGAGAAAGAGGGCTTTCCAATTACAGCCATTCGTGAGATCAAAATTCTTCGTCAGTTAATCCACCGAAGTGTTGTTAACATGAAAGAAATTGTCACAGATAAACAAGATGCATTGGATTTTAAGAAGGACAAAGGTACTTGCAAAATATTTGTTTCTGCATGGTAGTATAACTTTGTTTTCCTTTTTAAACTTGTCTTTGGAAACATTTAATAGATGGTGCTCAAGTATAGTTTTTTTCCTGTATTTCTTCCAGAATTTAGATACTGGTAGATTGCTCTTCCGCTGAATAGTGCTTGCTTATAAAATATTTCATCAGTGTACTCTTTAATACCTTGAGAAATCATTAAATTGTTAAAATATGTATTCGATAGGTCTGAAATTTTTCTAAGTCATTTGTGGTTGGGTGGTTGTTTTTTGTTTTTTTTCTTCTTTAGAAATGACAACAGTAATTGAAATTAAAATCTATTTGGAGGATAATGTTTCCCATTTTTGCCATACTTAAATTTTACATAGCCTACACATTATATCCTCTAACTTAACCTTTTTTTAAAGCATCTCAGAACACAGCTTAGAGATGGTCAAATGAAGTGATGAGTATATTTTGGAATGTTAGTAGAGAATGTGATTAAGGTACATAAAATTAGGGAAACACAGATAAAGTGAAGCTATATGAATATACCGTGGACTGCTAGGAAAACAAACCAGGTTCATCCTAGAGAGGATGAAACCAGTCTGCTTCTTGGAGGAAAGGATTCTGAAGCTTCGTCTGACATATTTTGGGCATGTTGTGAGAAGGGACCAGTCCTTGGAGAGGAACATCTTGCTTGGGAGAGTGGAGGGTCAGGGCAAGAGAGGAAGACCCTGCTTGAGTTGAGGTGTAGATGTGTCATAGACAATAAGGTTGGCATAGGATAGAACAGCATTTAGGGCTGTTGTACTTAGGGTCACTGTGAGTCACAAGCGTCTCGAAGGCACCTAACAACCACATACGTATTTTATAAAGGATCAAGGATATTAGTCCTAGAGGTAGCAGCACCTTTAGAATTTGTGAAAAGTAGGTGGTTTTTTGGTGGGTTTTTTCCCCCTTGTTGTATATTGTCAAATCAGATCCCACAGGCACAGGAGGAAGTTGCCAGTGAAGCATCTGGTGGATTCAGACCACGCACCTTTGGTATTGCAGTGCAGCTTCTTGCCACTAGGCCACCAGAGCTCCCTTGAAAAGTAGTTTTGAGAGAGAAGCAGGGACTGGGAGGGAAGAGGCCGAAAAAGAATAAGTAGTTTTAAAGTACCTTTTTTGGCAGTTTAAAATCACTAACAGCTCTTCGAGAGAAAGATAGTCTTCTCATGATTTACAGCCTCTGAAAATCGATTCACTATCAGTTGTTTTAAACTTGACAGTGATGAAGCTTTGGCAAAGTGCTCACTTTTAATCTGTAACTAAGTATATATTTCTGTGGTGGAAAAATTGTAAATACAGAAGAATGGGAAGAAGAAAATGGTTTCTTACTCCTGTCAGTATATCATCAGCCGTGAAAACCTTTACAGTTTTAACATTCTCACACACTTCATTTCAGCACTTTGTAGTATACATAGTATGTTATTTTAATGTAACTGAGTATTTTTAATATTCTCTAAATTCACATGTCATAGACAGCTTTCACTAGTAGTAAAAGTGAAGTAGATTAACTTAGTTACTTCGCCATTTCCCTGTTGCCTTCCAGTTTTTCCTGACAGTATAAGAATATCGCACATGAACATTTTCTGTATAAATCTTTGGCTTTTTTATTTATTTCCTGGGTATAACGTCTTAGAAGTAGGATTTCATATTTAATATTCACTTATTTTTAAGAAAGGCAGTAACAAGTTATGTCCTAACAGTGAGTGTAGTTTTCATTGTACCATGTCCAATATTAAGCCTATTTTTCATAAAAATGTATCTTATTAGGTGAAATGATGATGCCATTATTTTGAAGTACATGCTATACATTACATTTGAGTTTTTTCCCCCATAATGATTATGAGTTTTATTTACTTTCTCTTGTGAATTGTTTGTGGTTTTTTTAAAATCCTGTATTGATTTCTCTTCAGATTTTACTATTTTTGTTATTAATTTTATGAGATCTTGGATATATCTAAGAGATCTTAGATTTCTTCAAATATTTTGTGAAAGCTTTCGATCTACACTTAAAAAACACATGTGTGTTTAAAATTATATGTACTATTAATACACTTTATATGACACTCCCTAGATTAATCATGCCTAGATCATTACTTTTCTTCTTTTTTTACTTTTTACTTCTGAAAGACAGAATTTTGGACTACGTCGTCATTGTAACTAAACCTAATAATTCTTTTGTTCTCAAAGTTGTATATCTTACACCCTGCCAAAAGTGGAAAGATAGTGTGGATTTCAGATCTTAAATAGTGCTTCTGAAGTAGCTCTCACTCCTTTTATGTACTTTTAAATTTAAAGATTGAATCAGATGATTGACCTTTTTTTCTTTCCACTTTCAAATACTATGTATTTCACTAATAATGTATACCATATAGATATTGCCTCTGGCATATTATGTGTCCTGTTAATTTATATAAAGACTTCACAAAAATAATCATAGTTAATATGTAACATGATATGGCTGTTACAAGTAAAACATTTAGTTAATGACGCAGTGCGCTGAATTTGACTGTAGGTCTGTAATTTGCTAACTAGATCATAGAACTGAATACAAGTTGATGTGGATGGCCAGTGTTTCCTTGAGTTTTAAGTTGTTCAGAAAGTACTGGATTAGTAGTTAAAACACTAACCCAACCAGTAGTTCTGTCGTTTATTATGAGAAGAAACAAATTACCCAAATAATCTAGTATCTTCATTCATAAAGTTTACAATTAAAATATTTTGCCAGTCTAGTGATCTTATTAACAACTCCAAAACTGTATGAAAATTAAGACATATTAGTATCCTTTGTTAATTCTAATTTGTTTTTTTTATTTATATTTATGTTTTTAATCTTATTTAGGTGCCTTTTACCTTGTATTCGAGTATATGGACCATGACTTAATGGGACTACTAGAATCTGGTTTGGTGCACTTTTCTGAGGATCATATCAAGTCATTCATGAAACAGCTAATGGAAGGATTGGAGTATTGTCACAAAAAGAATTTCCTGCATCGAGATATTAAATGTTCTAACATTTTGCTGAACAATAGGTAAGGTAGTAACCAGATAAGTTTAAACAAATTTATTCTTCTCTATCCCTTAATTTCTCCTAGTAACTGGGGATCATAGACAGACCCAGTATTTTAAGGTTGTTTCCCCCCCCCACCCCCCCAATTTACATACATCTGTTGTTTTTACTTGAGGAAAAACCTTGATTAGGGATAACTGATCAGCAGAGCCTTCTACTTCAGTTTTAGTAAAAAATTAACAGAATTGTAAAGGTTTTGGTGGGTTGGGGTTTTTTTAATTTTTTTTAATTGATATTATAAAAAAACGTTTACAGAAAACTTGGATTTCCATTCATTCATTGTTGCACATTTTCATCGCTACCCACGCTGTAAAGGTTTTTTTTAATTGAAGACATTTTAGGGAAATCATCTTGTAACTGTATTCAGAAAGTTTTGCCATAGTTAGTAGATAACAGTTATTATGTAGTGGAAAATATACTGCTCTTTCCTAATTTCTTTTGAGTCTTCTCTCATTTTACTGCATTTCAAAGTAAATAGGTGGATTTGGTGATTGATCTGTCCAACATTTAGGTTATAATAGTATAGACAAAAATTTGAAGAATAGATGTAAATGTTTGGAAATTTTCAAACTAGAAAGTTGTATCATCTGCTTTTTTTCTACTCTGATTAATTGCAGCACTGTCAAATGCTTAAGTACTTCAAGAATTTAAATTTTTTTCCCCTTTTCTGGGTAATCCTTTTTTTTCCCATTATTTTTTGTGTGTACCATCAAATCAGATCTGACTGGTACAGGAGGACATTGTTCCTCCTTCTCTAGCATAGCATTTGGTGAATTTGAACTGTGCACCTCTGAGCTTGCAGTTGCAGCTTCTTGACACTAAGCCACCAGAGGTCGCCTGTAATCCTTTTTTTAAAGAAAAAAATTATTTCACTGTTACACACACTTCCTACCCCCCCCAAGACCACAGTCTACGTTACTATGTTTGCATTTCTTTTTATGGAATCTTGTCATGACAATAATACCTAATCATATATTCCTTTTAAACAGTTCTCTCCCTCATCTGTTTAAGTGCAGTATACATTATTTATCCCCTTTTTTCTTAGGTTCCCCCCAACCCTAATGTCATTTCCATTCTAAACAGTGCCATGTTTGTCCTTTTGTGCCTGAGATATTTCACTCAGCATAATGTCCTCCAGGGTCACCCATTTTGTATATTATTTCATGAGTTCTTTTTTTTTAATCCAGCTTAGTACTCCATTGTGTGACTATACCACAGCTTCTCTATCCATTCGTTTCTTGATTTAAAAAGAAAAATCACAAGTTTTAATTTTTTTTTTAATTGCCCTATCTTTTATGATATAAAGAGCAGGCCAGTGTTAGGGAGTTTTTTTGGTAATTATTAAATAGTTCATACCCATCTTTCTCAGATTCACTCATGGTTTTAAGCCTTTCTGTTCAATCTTGTTTAACAGACATATGTATAAAAAAATATAGAGTGATTATAACACTTTATCATCCCTTTATGGTTTGGAGTGCTTAGTCTTCTAGGTTTGTCTCTTTCTGCTTTGGTTTTAGTTAAAAGTCCTATGTGGGATGATTGATCACCATTTAGAGTTAAGAGTCTAGTAGAGGAGTTAAATAAATAAATTGGTTAATTTAGTAAGCATTTTTAAGCCCATTTATATTTTTATTTCTTAAGCTCCTCAGTATTGGAGCAAGATACATAATAACAAAGGATAAAGGTAGACAGTTACAGGGACCTAATTTGGAGATCTTACATCCTCCTGAAAAATTTAAACTCTATAAGTAATAGAGAACTAAAGAAAGGTACTGATTAAGGTTTTTGTTTGTGTCCTTTTAATTATGCAAATAATGCATTATTTTAAATTGTGAGATTGTACAAATATTACACAGTGTAAGGGAAATAAAATTATTTAGGTTCTAGGAAAGAGACAGCTTGTCTTCTGTGACTAAATGGAGACTATTTGGTATAAAGACTTCAGGAAGGGAGACCTATTAAGAAATGATGACTGAATTAACCCAAGCAATACAGATGTTATAAACAGGATAAATTCATAGGCCAGTAGAAACTGGTGAGTGAGTGGGGAAATGAATATGAAAAAGTGCTTGATATAAAGTGATTTAGATAGATTATAAGGCCTTAAAAGAGAATCTGAAAATTAAACAGTGATGACAATACTGTGTGAATAAAGTCAATGAAGAGAACAACAGAAGTATGTAGGTCTTCTTTATTTTTTAAATTTTAAGTATGGCAGAGATTTGGGCATATTTAAATGTTAAAAATAAAAATCAATAAGGCGGGTGGGAGAAAAGTGCAACAATGAATGGAAATCCAGAATCTCTGTAGATGTTCATTGAAATTAATAAAAAAAAATCAGTAAGGCAAAGTTGAAGATTCTACAGAGAACCAAAACAATTTAAAGAAATAAGATTCTAAAGGAAGCTCTGGCCCTAGAGGCAAGAAGCTGCACTTCAATCCCTAAGGCACGCAGTTTGACTCCATCAGATGCTCCACTGGAGAAAGTGGGGCAGTCTCCTCCTATGCCAGTTGGATCTGACATGAAACAGAACAAAAAAAAAAAAAGACGGTTCTAGAGGAGTTGAGATCAAAGTAATAAATAGAGGAGATTATTCTGGATTAAACAAAAAAAGGATTTGCACGTTTTCTGTAATTATAGGGAAGAAGAAAGAAAAAGATTTTTAGATTCAAGTAACTTTATAGATAAAAAGTTAAGGAGCTTTCATTTAAAGACTTCAGTAAAAAAGAAAAAACTTCTTGAGAATGAGAGGGTAGGAAGTGGAATACAATATTTAAGTAGAATGCAGAGCGCAACCAAGTAGAGTAAGTAACCAAGTTACTTACATTACTTACCAAAGACATAAAATTCATTCCCACTCATTGTGACCATCAGGTTTCTGAAGATTCTCCATCTTAAAGGACAACTAGTGGATTTGAACTGCTGGCTTTGATTAGCACCACAATATCTAATTCAACACTCAATTAGAACTTCTTCATAGACAAGTAAAAAGGCTTACAAACAGCATTTGAGGACCTGAAATAGGAAACTACACATTTTGCAGTAGCACCAATCTATGTATTTTTCTTCAATTTCTACTAATCTAGAGTCAGAGACAATAGTTTGCTAAATTGAAATACTATATAAAAGAGATATACTACAAGGTAATGAAGGTATCAAGTACTTGAAGATCTGTGATCAAAAAACCAATCAGTGATCTGTGAAATGAAACCTTGCAAATTCCTTTTTTTCCCCGCTCTCTCACTTATTCTTAAGATGTTCTGTCTGAATAAACAGTATTTAAGGACATTTTTATTTTACATTGCCAAATGTTTATCCATAGTTTTACACTTCATACTGTATATAAGGCTTTATTTGGAAGGGAATAGCAATGAGTAAAATTGCTATCAGGCCAGGCTATCTATATACTATTTATATTTAATGTACATTTATTTAGTACTGTAGGTGGTTACATAATTAAGTCAAAATATGTAGGACCAAATGTCATTACATTTGTAACATAAATTTTCCAGAAAGAAAAAAAGAGAAATGTAGTAAGCACTTGACTGTTAAATGAAAAGTTGATTAAACCATGCAGGAGTGCCCTGGAAGAAATAATCTGTGCTTCTGAAAAGTCAACAACCTTGAAAACCTTGTGGAGCACAAATCTACTCTGTGGCACATCAAGTGGATGGCTGCTGGTTTGGCTTTTTTCATTTATATGTCAGAGAAAGGACAGTGGACGGTGATGGTTTAATATTCGAATACACCCAATCTATGCAAGACATGTGCCTTTGATTCTCGACCAGTATACTTCAAACACAGCCATCCCTCCAGTCTTATGCATTTGTAGTGATGCTAACTAAACTGGTTTGTTTCAGTGAAACATCCAGACTTAGCCAGTAAGAAAAAAATCATGTAGATCGCAATAGTTTGATTCTTCATGTATCAGGGACTGATTCAGTGCAATTTAACATGTGTGAGACAGGAAATATAAGTGGGTGATAAAACTGTAATTTTTATTCCTGCTGTGTGCTTTTATCCTGGTATGCTAAGGGATTAGAAGTCTTGTATGTCTCAATATATAAGAATCAAGTCAGCTGTTTCTTCAGTCCTTTGTTTTCTCAGAGTTTACTTATAAATAGAACTTAGGAAAATATAGTAATATTTAATTTTGTTAATAGTAGTTCCTACCTTTTAATATTCTGTACCATTCTTCGTACTTCGAGCGTATTCTGAGATAGCCTCTTTCACTACCTTTCTATCTTAATGGAGCAGTCTTGAACATAAATATTCCTTATGCCACATTTTTCTTGGAGTCCAGCTTTTTAAATTCTTTTCTCAGCATACTGATTGAATAGAAATGGAGAGAGGATATAGCACTGATGTACACCTTTCTTATTTTAAACCATGCAGTGTTGCCTTGTTCTGTTTGAACAGTTTCTTGTTCTAAGTTTTCTATAAGCAAAACTAAGTGATAAAGTACAGATAGACATTCTTTTTTTATTTTTTATTTTATTATTTTTGTGTGAGTATACCGTCAAATCAGATCTGACTGGTACAGGAGGAAATTGTCCCTCCTTCCCAGGCAGAGCATCTGGTGGATTTGAACCGTTCACCCAGATAGACATTCTTTGGTGTTCTCTGCTCTTAGTCAGGATCCATCTAACATCAGCAGTGATACCTGGTGCTATGGTCTCTTCGAAACTTAGCTTGAACTTCTGGCATTTCCTTGTCAATATACTGTTTTAGCCACTTTTGTATGACCTTAAGTAATAATTGCTTGTGATATTAATGATACTGTTTGATAATTTCTACTTGAAATGTTTGGGAATGAGAATAAATATTAATCTTTCCTAGTCTGTTGGCTAGGTAGCTGTCTCCAGATTTCTTGGCACAGGCTTGTGTACATATCCAGCATCTGTTAGTTGAAACATGTCAATTAGTGTCTCATCAGTTCCTGGGGTCTTACTTTTTTGTCAGTATCTTCAGTGCAACTTGAATTTCTTTCTCCATTAACACTGGCTTTTGATTACGTGGTGCTTTCTGAAATAATTCATTGTTGACCATTTCTTTTGTACAGTAAGTATGTATTCCTTTTTTTCTTATACTTCCTGGAACATTCAAGATTTTGCCCATAGCAACTTTAAAGTATTGCAACTTGAGGCTTGACATTGTTTTTTTTTTGGTTTTTTTAACTTTAGCACTGCCAAGTGAATACTTCCCTTTTAATCCTCCCAACTCTAGCTCTCTACACATTTCTTTTGCTTTGTCTTGTCAAGGTGCCCTTTGAAGTCTTCTGTTCATTTCTTTTTTTTTTTTCTTTTTTTATTCTGTGTTCCTTTCACTTCAGCATCTCTTCCCTTTGTTTTGGCCTGTCAATGCTGTAGTGCAATATTCAGGGTTTCTTCTTCCATTTTGTTTTTTCTTCCTTGTAGTGACCTTTTACTGTCTTCATGGATGATATTATCTTTGAAACCATCTCACAACTCTGGTCTTCAGTCATTAGTGTTCAATGCCTCAAACCTGTTCTTGAGCGATTTTTAGATTCAGATGGAATAAAGAAAAGGTTATCACAGATTTGTTTTAATCATCTATAGCTTTACTTTGAGCTTGTACATGAGTAATTCCACAGTGAGCACGTTGGCCTAGTTTTGTCTGTGATTCCACAGATAAAGTCAGTTTGATTCCTGTACAGTCCATCAGGTGAGGTCTATGTATAATTGACATCTGTGTTTCTTGAAAAAAATTTGCAATGAATTAATTACTGAACATAACAAAATTCAGCCCTTTGTTCTCTAGTGTCATTTCTGTCACCAAGTCAATATTTTTCAAGTACCATACCTCCAGCATTGTTTCTAACTTTTGCATTCCAGTCACCAATTATTGTTATTGTATCTTGATTGTTTGATCAATTTTGGACTGAAAAAGTTGGTTGAGATCTTAAATTTCCTTTTTAGTTCTTTGTGCTATTTTTTTCTTTGTGGATATATAATATGTGGTATAGTAGTTCAAAAAGGCACGAGACATTATGGATAGGAATATATAATCAAGAAGGTTTAATCTGGAACAGTGACCAGGAGAGTAGAAAAAGCAAAGGTTAAAATGTATTGTAAATCCTTTAACTCTTGAATTGGGACTAGAGAATTCAGGTATGATTTGAAAGCTACAGATGTTACTCATGAAAATAATTATCTTTTGTTTTACAGTGGACAAATCAAATTAGCAGATTTTGGACTTGCTCGACTCTATAACTCTGAGGAAAGGTAGGCATTCATTTAAATTATGTATGGAAACTTAGAAAACATTCTTTTTTTAGTTTTGGATATTCTAGCAAGTATATCAGCGTTCTTAACCTGAATGTGTTAATACCTATGTTTTAGACAGGGAATTTTATTTATGATTGAGTCAGCTTGTGGTTTAGGTAACCAAATTAGAATGGAACTTTTTTTTTGGAATGGAACTTTTTTCCTTCACCTCTTTCTGTCCTGTTTGTTTTGAAACACTATGCTTCTAATGGAGCTATTTTTAACCATTCCATTTTTAATTGGTAACCATATCTAATTTCAGGACTAGATACTGTAGTATATGAGTTTTCCACAAGTGTTTTTTAATCAGGAACTAGTGTCTATTCATATTACGCTTCTTTTATATTTCAGTCGCCCTTACACAAATAAAGTCATTACTCTTTGGTACCGACCTCCAGAACTACTGTTGGGAGAGGAGCGTTATACACCAGCCATAGATGTTTGGAGCTGTGGGTAAGAATCTTCCCCTGTTTACTTTTGTCTATAGCTTATGTATTGTTGACATTTTTTTGTTTTCTTTCTACATTGGGTTTTTGTGACTTTATTTAAGGTCAGAAAGATAAGGATAAAATTTAGTTCAAACTTTAGAGAAATCAACTTGAATTTTTAATATTAGAGACATACTTTTCTGTTTTTTAAATTATTTTCCCAGTTTTAAATTTTTTTTTTAATACAAACTATTATGAGGTCAGAGAACTTTTTTAAATTGGTATTCAAATAAGGTCAAGAGATTATTATTGATTCATCATTCTCAAGTCTTTTCTGTGGACCACTCCATCTCACTTATTTATTATTAAATGTGGTTCTCTAGTCCATTTTGTCTCTATAACAGTAGGTGGGTTCAAGTTTAACTTTCTACCCCTCACTCAAAAAAAAAAATTTTTTTTTTCACTTGAGGTAGTTTGCTGTGTATTGGGCTACTAACTGAAAGAGGCCAGCAATTCAATTCTACAATTATTCTGAGGAAAAAGATACCTTGTTTCATAATGACTTACAGGCTCAGAAATCCAGTGGAGGATCTTTTTTCCTTTTTTTTTTTTGTTTTGTTTTACCACCCACAGCTACATTATGGGTAATGTTGAGTACTTCAGACAGAAATTATATAATAAATGTTATTGTCAGGCTTGAGGATGGATGGCAGTAGGAGCCTCTTCTCAGAACAGCCATTATATGAGTGTACTACTTGTAGAGAATAACAGCACAGGCCACTACAAATAGGTCTGCTTTCACTTATCACCATGTACAAGTTGTTGTAAATAATGTCATTGATGATACATTCATCTTTATAAAGGTTACTTATATATCCACACATACCACTGTATATGAGGCGTTCTTATGGCTTGTGTAAGGAATTGTGCTACCAAGACAAAGGTATGCAGTTCAATTCCACCAGCTGCTCTGTGGGAGAACATCTCCTCCTATGCTCTTTACTACCTCTGAAAACCAACTGAAAGCTCAGCTGTGAATTGGTTCCTACTCAGTAGTACACAAGAACAATCAGTAAACACTACATTATAATGTAACTCTGTTTTTGGATTTTCTATTTTTATGTATGTATGTATGTATGTCATTATCAACTATTGCTTTGTGATGGCCTTGTTCCATTTAGATAATTTTTGCTTGGAATAATTGTATAAAGATAATCTCATCTATGCGGCTAACCCTAGGTACAAATTAGGGAACGCTACTGGATATTGGCTAAGAAGTTGTGCTGCCTGTCTAAATCTAGGTGGTTTGAATCTGTCAACTCCTCCATAGAAGAAAGATGAGCAGTCTCTTTCTGTGTATTTACAGCCTCTTAAATCCCAGGTCCCACTTGATGATAATGAGAGAGAGTGAGTGTGTGGTACAAATTATGTAAGAAGGGTAGAATAAAAATTAAAAACTGGTAAAAAAGAATTAAATTTTTATTCTACCCTTCTTACATAATTTGTACCACACACTCACTCACTCTCATTAAAAACTGGTAAAAAAGAATTAAAGACAATGACATTTTCTAATATTCTCCAGACATGGTCAGTGAGAGATTTTTTTAGTGGGCTTTTTGTTTGCTTGCTTTTAAGTTTCATTATTAACTCAAGGATTTTAATGTATGTTCTTATTCATGATTCTTCTTATTCTTAGTCCTGCTCAGAGTGTTCAGTCTTAGTGTGCTTTGTCAAATGAATTTTTCGTCCTTTTTTGATAATACTCACAGTAGTTTTTGCCAGTGGTTTTCTCTCCTAGACTGAGAATCAAGTAATTTATTTTGGTTTCTTTTCTTGGAATTGTTACTGTTATTTGCCATGGAGACGGAACTGACTTGTAGCTGACCCTCCAATAGGTTAATAAAAGGCTGTAAATTGAATGGGAAATTAGTCATCTTTCTCCCCTGGAGCAGCTATTGGACTTCGGGTTGATAGTACAGCTTTTTACCACTAAGGACCAGAATTTACATGTTAAAGCATAGACTTTTTAAAATGGATATATAACTACTTGGTTATATGTTGCATGATTGATGTTTGTATGCTGTCCTTGACCTCCATACTTAGAACATTAGTACTTCCCAGAGGAGCACAACACTTTCCCCCATTCATTGCCTTCTTTATTAATGTTAGTCTTTAAAGGGAATGCTGCAGGGCTTTATTTAAAAATTTAAAGGGGTGAAGGAAAGAAAGCATAATTTCTTTAGTAACTTATCGAAATCAAATGAAGCTTTAGTTACATTTTAGTGACTCAAGCTGGGTGTCTTTGTGTTCTCAACTATTTTATTTAACAGTATTAGCATTTAAATTGTCACAACTAGGCCCTAAAGTTAACTCTCCATTAAGATGCATGAGGAAAGTTCATAGCTCTGTTGGTACTATCATTTCAGTCTGTGCACCCTGCCACCTCATGCAGTAGCAAAGTATTGATTATATAATGAATATGTCCTGAGATAAAATAAAACACAAAACTGATTAGAAATGAAGACTACAGAAGACTAGCCGTTCTTTAAAAGCTCATTGAATTGAGGTTTTGCTTAATTTTTTTGTGTTTGCTTACTACTGTGGTGATCTGTGAACGTACCCTGAATGAGAACTGTCAGAACAGTTTAGTTTGCAGATTGGAGAATAAACTAGAAAGACTAGGACAACAAATTGAACCTGTTGTCAGCTTTACTTTTTTTTTCTGACTCTTACATTACTTGTTTTGATAGTACTATATTTGAAACTTGATTTGGCAGTAAATTTGAGGAGAAAATTAAATTTACTTTTCAATTTCTTGATCAAATTTGAGAAAATAGTGGAAGTGTTTCTCTATTGTTAGTTGAGTTCAACAAATGAGTCTGCTTAATAAAAAGGTGCTCAAACTCAAGAAGGGAGGTTGACCATCTTTCTCTCACAGAACATCTGGTGAATTAAACTGTCAGCCTTTGAGTTGACATCAGAACTCTACTGCTTAGGCAACAGTACTTAAAAAATCAGATAGTTTGCGAAGTTAAAAATTTTGAGAGTAAGCCTGAATTCTTATTTATAAGAATACATAAGTCTCATTTCAAAGTACAGACCAGTGCATAGATTTTTTTTTTTCCATTTAGAGGAAAAAAAATTGTATTTCAAACATACAAAAAAGGAATGTGGGCGAGCTCTGGTGGCCTAGTGGCAAGAAGCTATAGGGCAATCCCAGAGGTGTGCGGTTCAAATCCACCAGATGCTCTGCTGGAGGAGGAGGAACAGTTTCTTCCTGTACCAGTCAGATCTGATTTGACGGTACACAAACACACAAAAATAATAAAATTTTTTAAAAAAATAAATGTGTTCATATAATTTTCCTTTAAACTTATCTTAAAATATCTAAATTTACAGAAAAATTTCAAGAATAATACAGTGAAGTTTAGCATAGCCTTTATCTCAATTCACTAAGAATTTATCATTTTTTAAATTTTATCTTAGCTTTTTTTATTGAGGTACATAATAAATTGAATAATTTGATAAGTTTTGGTGTATGTATACATAGTACCCCATTTTAATTTTTACTAAAAAAGGCTTGCATTTATTCTGTATTCTGTCACTATCAATTTATGTTTTTTATAATTTTACAAACATAGAGTCATAGTATATATGATATGTTTCTTCTGGCATTTTTTATTCAGCATAATTTGGAATTCATTCATGTCAGAGTCACTTATTTCTCAAATCCACCATATTTGCTTTGTCGTTCCTGTACGTACATAAATCCACCCACTGTCATAACAACTCCCATCAAGTGTTCAGAGGTATAAATCTTTCTGGTAGGAGGGTGCCTATCTTTCTTCCAGGGGAATTTGAAGTCACAATGTTTGGATAGTATCCCATCACATTAAATGCACATTGTTGTTGTTGTTATTGTTGTGGACCATCGAGTTGGAACCGACCCATTGCTGACCCTGCTGGTGGGTTTTCAGAGGCAGTTAATTCACACAGGAGATTGTCCATTCTTCGCCTGAGGAGCTAGGAACGATGTGCCTTCAGGATTGCAGCACAGCTTCTTGCCTCTAGGCCTACCAGGGTTCTTCATGTGCATAAAATAATACATTACATACAATTAAAAAAACCAAAGTGATTGCTTTTGAGTAGGAACTGACTAATAACTGACCCCCAGTGAGTTTTCAGAAGTTGTAAATTACACAGGAGGAGATTGCCTACCTTTCTTAGGTGGAGTGACTAGTGAACTCAAACCTCCACAGAGGTACTGGCTTTTGGTTAGCAATGCATCTCCCTACAGACAACTCCATCAGATCTCCCTAAAACATACAAATGGTAAAACAGTAATATACAATAAATAAAATATGTGTATGTACACACAGATACATCCTGTATCACATATTTTTCCTAGAACTGTTTGATAGTTGTTAGCTAACAGTGTTCTGTATTGAATTTTCCTATTCCTGGTAATAAGTTCCAATCTAGAATCATGAATTATATTTTAATCTTTAATCTGGAGCAGTTGAATCTTTAAATATGAAGATTTTTCTTTTATTTTTTTTTTAAAAAGATGAGTTTTTATATAGATTGTCACTCAGTTTGGGTTTATTTGATAGTTTGTCATGATTCAATTTAAGATACATGTTTTGGGCTAGACTACTGTAAAAGTGGTATTAAAGTCTCTCAGTATTCACATCTGTGCTTAGTATTCACATCTGTGCTTGTAAATGGTTATGCTTATGATGATACTGATTTTGGTCTCTAAGGTGTTATCGTGGTTTTTTTCTACTGAATTAATTACTAGTTTCCTTTTATAAGAAATTTGTGGAGAGATACTTAGAAGCTATATGTCTCTAATGTCTTTTTCTAAATTTTGTGTTGTTGAAAATAAACATACCAGTTATATAATTTTGTGACATTGGTCACACTCTTTAAATTATATCATCAATTTCACCTACCTTTTCTGGGTTATTCCTTATTAACATAAATTCTCTGCCCCTAAAGTTCCTGTCTTTTGATTTGCTGTTGTTAATTTGATCCTATATAGATAATTCTTAAAAGAGCACAATGCCAAATCAGGCTTTAGTTAATAATTAAGCTAAGTGGTTTGTTCTGGTTTTTGTTAACTCTAGAGGACTTTTTTAATTTAAAGATTATCTCAAGGCAGTAATTTTCAGGAACTCATACACTCTGCAGAAAGTCTGGAGTCCATGAGTGTTTAAAATTATGTACTGTGTTTTCCCATTTTTGATAAGGATTATCTATGGAATCTTTGAGCACAGTGCTCAGTCATGTTAATTAGTTACTATCCAGTTGTTCTCGTCTCATAGCAGAGGAAGCAGTTGTTCAATTAAAGGTCCATGTAGTTGTGAAAGGACTTTTCATATTGGTGAAAATGTTTGCATATAATTTTTTGACAAGCATATTGAAACTGATCGTAGATGATCACTGTTAACTGTTTTCTTTGCAAATACAATGTCCAACCAAAGGGCAGTAGTCTAGAACATTCTACAGAGCAGAATAAGGAGAAACAATTAGAAACTACAGGCACCATAGAAATGTGAGGGGTTTTTTTAGTCTTTGATTATTTTTCCTTACTTTGTAATGAAAGTGATACTTACAGAGTGAAAATTTGATCTGTTTGAAAAGAAATCTAAACCTCCTATGCTATTTTCATTCCAATAAACCTTTCCTAATACTCAGTTGTTGCCTTTTTTAACTAATTTACAATCTAATAGATCTGATATAGCTCAACTGTAAATGTTTTAGACACATTTTAAATCACCTATAGGAATTTCTTTTGACCTCTCTTTTTTATTCTTTGTAGATGTATCCTCGGGGAATTGTTCACAAAGAAGCCCATTTTTCAAGCGAATCTGGAACTGGCTCAGTTAGAACTGATAAGGTACAGCTATCTAATGTTGTGGGTGCTCAAGTGTGATGTGTAATTTCTAACACTTCAGTTATTCTCCTAAATGATTTTCTCTATTTTATGTCTAAGTAAGTTTCTCTTCTTTTCAAGATTGCCATATACCTTCTCTGACTAAATATGTAAAATATTCTGTACAAGATTTATTTCTTTCCTTGAGTATTTTTTATCAGCTCTTCATATGTTAATAGGTCATATTCAGGATGATAGTTCCATAATGGTTAAATTATGATTAAATTTATTCGGCAAACCTTTTTTTTTTTTTTTAACTTTAGTATTCAGGTTAAAATAAATTCTACCTTCAGAGAATCCAGTGTTCAGTAGTAGGTATAGAATGAAAGACAGATAATTATAAAATAGAACTTATATTAGAGGAATTGGGGAAAAGATCTACAGGGTTGCAATAGAACCTTGTTTACTTGCTTTCAATAAAATTAAAGTGAAGATTACAGCAGACTAGCATGAATAATTTTTTTTAAATGATATGTAGCTCATTAAGGAGCTCTGACGGCAGAGCGTTTACTACTATTAACAAATAAATCAGATCCACCAATTACTCCTTGGCTAAAGATAGACAGTCTCCTCCCATTGGAGGGGCACTATGAGCTGGAATTGATTCTGAACAGCCATTGAATGTTAAGACACAGTTTCTTAAAAAAATACCATTCTGGTAGTGAAAATCTACTCACAGGATTTAAAAAACATATTTTATAAACTCAAATATGTGGATCATTTTCTATTTTAGTAGTAGCATTTTCAGTATCTTGTAATTTTTTCTGTCCTATTCATCTGCTTGCCCTCTATGTAATAAGCCAAGATTCCCAAACCTTAGGAGATGATAATTTCTGCTTCTGTAACCTTCAGAGTTTCATGATTCTGACTCACTGATTTCTTTTGCCTTCTATTTTGTTTTTAGCCGACTGTGTGGTACCCCTTGTCCAGCTGTGTGGCCTGATGTTATCAAGCTCCCCTACTTTAACACCATGAAACCAAAGAAGCAGTATAGGAGGCGACTACGAGAAGAATTTTCTTTGTGAGTTTGGCAAAAATATACATCTAGATTTTATATTTAGCTGATACTGGGACTTGACTTTTTTAATGACTGGGTGTTATCCCATTTTATTGTGGAACACACTATAGGAGATCATTATATTTTTTAATAGTATTTTCATTTTATTATAGCCCTTTCTTCCTGATTTTTTTTTTAATTCTGGAGATTTTTGGAGATAAGAAACGTTATAGACCCTATATAAGTTCTCTCTTTTTTTTGTGGGATTTTATTTATTTTAATTAAGATTTTAATCAAAGTTTATAGAGAACTTGGATTTCCATTCAACACATAAGTTCTCATATAATCCTTTTGATCTTCCTAAGATAAAAAGATAATAGGCCTATTTGATTACTTTTTCCTGTCTGTATTGTATTTCTTAAATCCTGTGTAAAACTAAATCTGTTTGCTTGTGTTAGTATACTCAGCTCCCCTACCACAGTTTTAAATTTTGACACAAGATTACAAGTTTGAGAACTGTGAGCTTGTTAAAAACATGTCCTTTTTCTGCTGCTTTCCCCAGCATTCCTTCAGCAGCACTTGATTTACTGGACCACATGCTGACTCTAGATCCTAGCAAACGTTGCACAGCTGAACAGACTCTACAGAGTGATTTCCTTAAAGATGTTGAACTCAGCAGAATGGCTCCCCCAGAGTAAGTATTGGTTGCTGTGTAGGGAAAACACCTTTCCACTTCTAGAGATGAAAACTCAGTATAGTTTTTAGAGGAATTGCAAATACTCAGTTAAGTCCAAAATGAAGAGGTATCCTTGAGTATTGTAGCTTTGATCATTTTGTTTAACATGGAATAGATTGAGCTATGATATTCTAATTTGATTCAAACGATCTGCTTTTGTTTTTGCCTTCTCAATATATTCTACTATACAACAAGTTCTTTGAAAGTAATTCTAGTTTTACCTTAACCCTTTCATGATTGACTCCCTTATGTCTAAGTGACCATTATATCCTATACTTGCAAGGACAGTTCTAATTAGTTTGCAGTATTGTCAGATCATGTATCCTAAACCAAGTAATATGGATCACTTTTGCTTAAAGGTGACTTAATCATGATAAAATTTATGATTTAAACCACTACAACTATACTTTCCTACATATTTAAAAAATAGCAGCTTTAACGCCTCTATCCAACTATTCCTAATTGAAACTTGACCAGTGAAATTTTTTTTCTTGTTATGTACAGTTATGAACAAGTTACCAGATTTAAATATTTGACTGAAATATAGGAGTTATGTGTAGCAAGTGTATCTTAGTTATTAGCAAAACTTCAGTTTCTCACTGTTGACTTTACATTGCTATTGTTTACCAACTTTTCTAGTTATTTTACTATTTTTCCCCCCTCTGCCTTTTCTTGGACTTCTTTGAATTCTTTGAATCAGATTCCCATTTATATTTCCTCCTTGCTTTATGTTTTTTCCAGCCTCCCCCACTGGCAAGATTGCCATGAATTGTGGAGCAAGAAAAGGCGACGGCAGCGACAGAGTGGTGTTGTGCTCGAAGAGCCACCTCCGTCCAAAGTCTCGCGTAAAGAAACTACCTCAGGGACAAGCACTGAACCCGTGAAGAACAGCAGTCCAGCACCACCACCTCAGCCTGCTCCTGGCAAGGTGGAGCCTGGATCTGGCGATGCAGTAGGTCAGTGCTGGGATGTGCCTTTCTGTTTTCATAAACATACTTTGCATGTTTTGAAGGTCAAGTACAAAGGCAGGGAGGAGAGAGTGTCTTAAAGTTTTTATCCATTAAATCATTAGTAAAAAAGTAAGTGTCCTTATTATGGAGGGAGAATAAATTCAACATTATACATACACTACAGAAAAGTCTACAGGAGAGAATGTTTCTTTTCCTGAAATAAGGAACACTTGTCTCAGTTAAATACACAAAGGTAAATGAGGTAAGTCAACATTAAGGTTAGTTTACCATGTCTCTTAAACACACATAATTTGGAACACTGTTTATGCCTGTTGGGTTCGATAGAATTTTGGGGGAATCTAATTATATTTAGTCACATTTACTAAATGTACTTTGTTTCATTTACTGTTACTTGATCCATGGACATCTACTTTCTTAACAATAAACTAAATGGCAAAATAGTTCTTCTGTAGAGAAGAGCTATAGATCATTCTAGGAAGCTTAAAAAGTCACTCCAGACAATTGCTAGTTCTCAAGGAAAAGGGCCTAGAGCTCTGACTTTCAAAACCTTGGTGATTCTGATGTACCACTAAGAGTTGAAAACCACTGAACTTGAAGAATACAAATAAAATGACATCACCTTTACACACAGTACAATTATGTTTTTACTCCTTATATTTAAGCAAAAGTCTAAAGAACAACCATTTGTGTCATGACAGACACGTGGTATTAAAAAGAACATTGAAAATGAACTTCATTTTTTTTATATTATAAGCTGTTACTGCCAGTTAAAGAAAGTAAGGCCATGCCTTGCTTCATCCTCCACTATTTCTCCACAGGACTTGGTGACATCACACAGCAGCTGAATCAAAGTGAACTTGCAGTGTTATTGAACCTGCTACAGAGCCAAACTGACCTTAGCATTCCTCAAATGGCGCAGCTGCTTAACATCCACTCAAACCCAGAGATGCAGCAACAGCTGGAGGCCCTTAACCAATCCATCAGTGCCCTGACTGAAGCTACTTCCCAGCAGCAGGACTTACAGCCTGTGGCCCCAGAGGAGGCTTTGAAGGAGGCACTTCCTGCCCCACTGGTCCAACCTTCAGCAGAACAGACAACTCCTGAAGTTGCAAGCACAACAGCTGATACACAGAATATGTTGGCAGTTCTCTTGAGCCAGCTGATGAAAACCCAGGAGCCAGCAGGCAGCCTGGAAGAAAACAACGGTGACAAGAACAGTGGGTCACAGGGACCCCGAAGAACTCTCTCAATGCCACAGGAGGAGGCAGCAGGTAAACAGACCGGTCATGAATCTCATTGAGCTCAGGTGCTGTTGGTCCTCTTAAAAATTCTTTAACATTTTCTTTTTCACATCAATGGCATCAGTTTCAGTTTTTCTGTAACCTAATCTGCGGGAGAACATAGCACCAATTGTGTATTTCTTCTTTTATCTGTGTTTCAAAGTTTCTCAAAGCACCTTACATACATTGATTGTTTTTCCACTTCCTAGGAGGTAGGTAAATAAAACCCTTGTGTTCTAACCAAGGAAACCACAAACCATAACTAATGCATCTTGAAGCACTGTGTGTGTGGTGGCTAACTAGTGCTAGCACTTGAAACTCTGCCTTCCAAATAAACCCTGACTTCTGTATGTCTAGTGTAGTAGATGCTGGATACCAGAATTTAACCCGGAAGTCAAGGTAGTTCTAATAAAATATAATCTTTTTGAGAGTAATTTGGGGATATTTTTAAGTAGATATTTAACATATATTTTTTTCCAAAAAATTAAAATATATAAATATGATTTTTTTTAAGCCTGTGTTCCTGAAAGAGACGATTGAATGGATCCTAGATTAGAAAATTAACATTACATAAAGAAAAGAGTTTGAATAAAATATGTTATGCTCTGATCTCACGTGACCACAGCATGCATTTTATATGAGAGTAAAGAGAGTTACATTGTCTAATGAATTCTGATTTACAGCCTGTTGGCAAATGTTTACTTAATCAGAATGTTTTCAACTCCTTCAAAATTTTCACTGTTCATGAAGATCCTATGACTTGGGGAATTAAGAAGAGATACAAGGGTGGATGAGATAAACTAATCTTCAACTTTCAGGGTCCTGCATTCACATTTCATAAGGGATGGTGCAGAAAGAATATGCATTATTTCTACTGTTAGAGTTAAACACATGAACTATTTTTCAAATGTATAACTTTTGGAAAGGAAGATAAATAAAATTAACCAGTTTATTTTACAGATAGGGAAACCTTAGTTCAGGATGTATAACTGTAGTTCCACTGCTGATTATTTGCAGAAGCAGAACTAAACCTTGTGTATTTGTGTTTCTTTAATCACTCTGCTGCTCTATCATTTGTGAGGATGGGCAGGTTTTCAGTCTTTTAAGGTTGCTGTGAGAGTCGGCTCAACAACACCCCAAAACAACCAACAACTCTGTCATGCTGATTTCAGTTATTTTTAAGAAACTCCAGGACATAAAATAACAGAGAAAGCTAACGTAGAATTAAAGCAGGCCTCATATCTTGTCTCCCTTTACCACAAAGAAAATTTCATCTCTTTTTAAAATATTTGGAAAAAGTGGTTCAAATTAAATGTCATAGTGATTGAAAGAATCACCAGTAATTGAGCCAACAAGCTGTCAGCCAAATGGTGAAATTGAACTACAGTGAAGGTCTGACCTGCTGCCAGAATGGTTAGATATGTTTTTCAGAGGAATATGTAAGATGCCATTACTCTAATTACTGTAGTCACCTCTGGATTAGCCTATGCTCCTCTGTTGTTTCTTTGTGTTGCCTCTTTTTTGGCATTTAATTGTTCAGTAGCACTTCCACCAGAGGGCAGACTGGATAAGCCAGAAAAGGGTGAAACCTGTTATTTTGGCATTCTATCACTCAGTATTTGTTATGAAAGGGTGGTGGTTGATAGTGAATCAAATGAAGTTCAAAGTTATTTGTACATTTTATTAATACTTCCCTTATTAGTACAGATTTTAAGAATTGGCAATATTGTTAACACCTTAAATTTTACTTACAGTATTATTTGTAAAAATGTGATCTTTATTTTTAAGAATTTGTTAGTTTTACTTTAATGTTCTTTATAATCCATCTACTTTGGAATAGAGTTATCTTCTCATCTGTGTGAAAGAACTTGAAAAGGTGATTTGAATTCAAGAATTGGTTCTGTTGAAACACTATTTTCATACAAGATAGAGTGTAAATATGAAATTGGTATAAACATGGGAAGATTATGAGTTTAGATTTACCTACATTTGCAGTTGACCTTTTAAAAAAATATTTGGCGGGATAGGGGGGAACCAACAAAACAAAAACCCTGATGTTCCATAAATATTTTTTAATAGCTAGTAAGGCCTTAGAGATCTTTGAAGTTGACAGTAAGAGGGTTTGAAATCTATAGGTATTTTTGCAGTAAAATTAGTCACTGCCTTCCCCTTCCCCACCCCCATATGTCTCCTTTATCAGTGAATTTTTTTGGCAATATTTTCTTTTCCTTAAATTATTTTTCCTTTGATACCTGTTACCCAGCCAAGCAATCAACAAGTAGCTTAAATGGATATGGTCTATAGGGCAAGCAAGTGGTTTGGAGACTTATGGAAACCCTCTCAGTCCTGCGCTATCTAGGACAATTAGTGATTGTACCTGTATTTTGAACATTGTTCCTGCCTTCATTTCTACTATATAGCCTTAAAATTAGTGATATAAAAATGTAAGGTAAATTTGTTATCAGAATAATTAGTTGTAATTAAAAACTCATTTTGGCTTGTGATAAGGATTTTTTTTAATGCTTCCGTAGAGAACAGGAATTATTTGGATAATTTCCCAAAACTTTGAATCTTTCCTGCAGGATAACTCACAGCTCTCTTAAAGACACTTATTTATTTGAATGTTCTTTTGTCACAGTGGTTTTATATGTCCTCAAATGCATACCATTTTACATCTGTCTTCTTCTGCCTTGTTAGGAATTCATTATCAAATGATTGTTGTGCTTAAGCAACTTAAGCCAGGAGTGGAAAACAAAGATCCAAGGAATGATTCAAAAAAGACAAAGATAAAATAAATTTTAATAAAAACCCAACAACAAAGATCTTTGGGAAGATAGAATATAGTATTAGTTCATTATGTTTCTATATACCCAATTCTTGCCATTATTTCTAAGACAAATGAATGTTTGTAAAAAAGTCCCATTCTGCATGACAACAGGTGCTACATTGATTCCCCCCCCCATATATTACGGAAAAAATGCAGGAGGTAGGTAGGTAAACAAAATAGAAAATCGTAATAGTAGATTACTTTTGTTTTAATCATTATTGTAACACAGGAAGCAGAATGAGAGTATGGTGATTAATATACCTTTTCTTCATAATGTAATTATTGGGGAAGGGAACTTAAATTTTGAGGAACAGGTGTATGTTTATACATGATAGTAATGGAAGGTTTTTGCTTCATTTTCTCTTTCTTGTATATTAAGTTCTTTTTCAGGTTAACCTTACGCCATTCAACTTTCTGTAAAATGTGTTAGCTATACAAGATCTCTTTGTTGTACAGCAAGATTATGTTCTAGAAATGTGACCACAACATGTGTATTATTCCCTCTCATTTCCTTCTTTCTACATTATTGGGTTAATGTTTTGAATTAGCAGCAAAAAGGGGTGGGAAGGGGTTGCTGCCAACAACCTACACATTAGAACAGTTTGTTAAAGAAGGAAATGGAGGAAATCTCAGACAAAAATCAGAACAATAATTTGAAGCATAATGGTCTTTTTTTATACCAGCTGTTAGATTCAGAATGCAACTGTCTTATTTTTAATCACTTGATTTTATTTATAAATTGCAATTCCCTGCTCCCAAGATTTTATTCTTTATATATTTGGTTACTTGTATTGGTATTTGTTTATGTTGGGCAGTGTGTGTGTGTGTGTTGTGTTTATAATCACATGTGAATTTTAAGATGGTGTTTAAAAGAAGTAACCCTTCCACAGCATGTCCTCCTCACATTCTTCCACCAGAGAAGAGGCCCCCTGAGCCCCCTGGACCTCCACCGCCGCCACCTCCACCCCCTCTGGTTGAAGGCGATCTTTCCAGCGCCCCCCAGGAGTTGAACCCAGCCGTGACAGCCGCCTTGCTGCAACTCTTATCCCAGCCTGAAGCAGAGCCTCCTGGCCAACTGCCACATGAGGACCAGGCCTTGAAACCAATGGAGTACTCCACCCGACCCCATCCAAACAGGACTTACAGAAACACTGATGAGCCTGATACAGGGTTCAGTGCCACTGACACTGATGAATGCAACTCTGGTCCAGCCTTGACAGAATCCCTGACTCAGACCCTGGTGAAGAACAGGACCTTTTCAGGCTCTGTGAGCCAAGTTGGGGAGTCCAACAGTTACCAGGGTACAGGGTCAGTACAATTCCCAGGGGACCAGGACCTCCGCTTTGCCAGGGTCCCCTTAACATTACACTCAGTGGTTGGGCAGCCATTCTTGAAATCTGAGGGAAGCAGCAACTCTGTGATACATGCAGAGACCAAATTGCAAAACTATGGGGAACTGGGGCCAGGAACCACTGGGGCCAGCAGTTCAGGAACAGGCCTTAACTGGGGGGGCCCCGCCCAGGCTTCTACCTATGGAAAACTCTATCGGGGGCCTACAAGAGTCCCACCACGAGGGGGAAGAGGGAGAGGAGTACCTTACTAACCTAGAGGCTTCAGTGTCCTGAAAGACTCCTTACCTAGCTATCTTTCCATTCTATCCTCTGAACCTTTAATGAAATAATTTGCAGAGCAAAGTAATCTGCATTTGACTACCACAAAGCTGTCCATTGTATTCCTTGCTCAGTTGTTACAAGCAGGCAACTTACAGAATAATGATGTTGGCACCAGTTCCCTCAGGATGGGATATAGCCAGAACATTTACTTCAAACTCTACCTAGTAGATACAAGTAGAGAATAATGGAGGGGTCATTAAATTGAAAAGTTAACACTGTGTTAGCTCATTGCCTACATTTCTTGACAGAAGAGAGAAAGGTTCAGTTTTGAGATGTGACTATCAGGAGAATAGATTTTTAAAGATTTTTTTTAAAATTTTCTTTTGAATTTAAATTTCGTTTTCATCTTCAATGAGAATAAGCAGCTCATAAACTTTTGCTCTAAGAGTAATGATAACCTAGTTGATCTAAATAAATGTTTCCTTCTACCCCACTATCACACATTTTTTGCTTTTAAGTGAACCCTTCCCCCTCCTTTCAATTGAGCATCTTGAACATATCTTCCCACCCCCCAATAAAATTAAAGTTTACTCTGCTTGGACTAAAGGTGTATTCCCCCTCCCTGCACATAAAGCAGGTGATTTCTTTGGCAAGTAGATAGACTTTACCCAACTCTGCTTTTTGCCTCATTCTTATATAGTATTTTCCTTTTTTTCTTTTTTGAGGCATTTGTTTGGAAAAAGAATCGTTGAGATGCCTAAGAACCTGCGATAATTTCATTACCTTTTTTTGAAATAAAGGAAAGGAAGTTCAAACTCCTACATTGTTCTCTGCAACTCTTCAATTTCAGAAGGTTGTTAGTTTTTTGTTTTGTGGGTTTGTTTTGTTTTGTTTTTTTTCTTGAAATCAAGTCCTGATGGGAAGGTTGATTTGTAAATGTGGACAGCTAAGGACATTGCTACTGAGCTCAGAGTAGAGATGATTGCCTCCATATCTAGAGGGCTAATAAGAACAGTTAACATTGTTTACATATATATTTTTATGTAAAAAAATAAAAACCAACAAAAACCAAAACAAAGCCTTTGAAACAGAGCATTGTAATATTGTCAAAGAGAGAAAAAATACATTCTGCTGTACATGGAAATATAACTTAGTTTAGGGTATTTTTCTGAAAATATATCAGTACCTGATACCCTTTTTTATAATTTTAAGAGAGTGGACCATGAGAGAGCAGTATTGATATATGCATATCCCAGGATGGGATTCTGCCAATTCTTATAGGATTTTCCTTCAAAGGGATTTGGTAAAAGGGTTAAATTACAGCTTCCTGGCAAGATCTTGGCCTTATCAACAACAGGAAACAAAGGAGAAAAGCTGGGGTAGTTTGGGAAGCTTCTCATTTTGGCTTCCATTTATACTGTGTTACCAGCATATAAAATGTTTTAAAAACAAATACACACTCATACAAATTAGACTTCTTTGATAAATAGATTACAGAGATCCCTTTTCCCCTCCCCTTTACAAGGAAAAGGTATATTGGAGTATAGCTTTCTCTGAGTTCAAGTGAAGATTTGTGTTTAAATGACAAGTTCATATATAAAAATGAAAAGTCAGAAAGGTATGCTAATAAAACAACAAATCTTAAATGAAAGAATCATCTTGAAATATTTACTTGAAGATTGTTTTCCCTTGTGATTGAAATAGGTAGATAAATAGTGTGTGCATTTCTTTATTTTGTGGTTTTGGTCTGGCCTTTCTTTTGGCCAAACACTGATTAGAAAGAGAACCAATTTGGCATTGATAAATATTTTTACAGTGTGTCAAATTAGATTTGGTAGGCTCACCTGAGATGCTTTGGTAAATGGCTTTGAAGTTCATCTAAACTTTGTTGACGTCTTAGTCCTCAGACATGGGCCTTTTTGTATTTTAGAATACTTGAATATAAGCTTTTGGCCCCAGTTTTCCTTATTTTTTATTAAAGAACCTAAGCCTGGGACATTTTCAAAAGTATCTATTCAGTGAAAAGTTGATTTCCCATCAAATAACTAATAAAATTCTCTGTATATTTTCATTTTTTGGCTGTTAACAGTCATCAATAATATTTTCCTCCATTCTTTATTTTTAATTATTTTAATTAATTTACCTAAGCCTCCATTTGCCCCACCTGCACTAGGGAAGGGGATGAGAGAGAGAGAGAGAGTGTGTGTGTGTGTGTGTGTGTGTGTGTGTGTGTGTTTGATTCTCATCTCACCCCTACCCATTTAGAAACCCAAACTTTTTAAAAATTTTTTGTGGATTTGACTGTAAACACAGAGGAGAAAGAAACTTACTTAGATATCTTGGAATCTGTATGAAGAAAAAGTTATCAACTTTTCACCTGTGTTACTTTTATAATAACATGGTAAAAGTTGTTGATGTCTCAACTTCAGTAACAGAAAATTATCAGCTCAATTCTATCCAAGAGTGGTTTTGGTTAATTACTAAACCATGAGATCTAGTTTAATACCTTTTTAAAAAAAAAGATGGAAAATCTGATCAGTTCATGAATGGAAGACAAAACTGGTTTGACCAGGATAATTTTTGTGGTTTTGAAAACAAATTTGTTTGACTCACTTAATTTTTCTTCAGCTATCCATAGAAAAATAGAGTTTAAAAACAAGAGATGTGTATTTTTTCTTAAAGGGCAATTAGCACAAATTTTTAAATAGAACTTTGGTCTTATGCCATAGGCATCTCCCAATGTGTGAGAGAGATAAGCATAGTGCTAAAATGGTTACCAGCAGGTTTGGAGAGAGAATGTTACATTATATAAGTGTCAGTTGCCACCTCATTCTCCCTGACTTAGATTCCTGACACTATGTTGCTTTCTCTCTCTTGTCCCCCCCCCCCCATCGGGTATATCTTGTCTATGTACAGATATTTTGTAATATATTAAATTTTTTTTCTTTTGCATTTATACAAGTGGAAAGTGGATATTGGAAAATTAAATATTTCCTGTTACTATACCACTTTTGCTCCATTGCTTTTACTTCTTAATCTGTACTCTGAGCAAATCAAACAGGTGTAAAGGGCATTAAATTCTCAGGGTTTAAAGAGGTGCTTGAAAACACGAGACTAGAAATGAAAGAAGAAAGAGTTGGTAGAGAAAATAGAAGGTAAATTTTTTTAAAGGTAGAAAATCATTACACAAAAGATGATAGTGGCAGATCATCAAAGAGTTGAGCTTCATGTACCCTGACTACTCCTGACAGGAGAGGTAAGTGGGTTTGAGCTCAACTGTTAACAAGGATGCTGCTTAACTGTTAACAAGGATGGTAAGATGCTGCTTAGACCCATGTTGTGTATTGACGAGTCAGAAATGGCCCTCCAGTGGTCAGTCCCCTCCAGCAGGTTTTCAGAGGCAGTTAACCACTCAGGAAATTGCCCATCTTCTGTGATGCAACTGTGGATTCGAATTGCCTACCTTTGAGTTAGCTACAGTTCTATACCACTAGCCTTTAGAACTTGCTTAGACCCATAATATATTCTATTTTTAAACCTACTAGTCTCCCCACCCCCTGTCCCAGCTTAGTTGCTTTCCTTGATGTCTGTTAATCAGGTAGGGTCAGCATGGGGCTTTCTGGGTCTTCCACCAACCCAGGAAGTGAGTAAAAATGATTTTTTTATTAAGTGAACAGGAGGGTTTGGAGGAAAATGTGCAACAATGAATGAAAGAAATTTTTTTCTGTCAACTTTATTTAAAATCACAATTTTAAAAAATTAGTAAAAACCAAGGTGTGCTTGAAAAATTGATCACATGCACCGGAGTCTTAAAAGTTGGGGGAAAGTTTAAAAAGGGAACTCTCATACTATTTTTATCTAAGAGACTTAATTCCCTTCACTTTTGTAACTTTTCTTTCCATGGTAATTTTGTAATTCTAAATATTGAAGATTAAGTTCCCCCCTATGGTATGTGCTTGCTGGAGAAAGAGCAATCTCCTCCCGTTGTGATTTACAACCTTGGAGGGCCCCAGTGAGTCAGAACTTACTCTACAGCAGTGGGTTGGCATGTGCTACTGTCCTGCTAGTTATTTCATGTGTAGATTAGACAAGGTGAATAAAACCCATCAGAATACAGGGAGTGACGTGAGCAAACTAGTGCATGCTGAATGTTGCCAGCATGTAGTGTTCCCTTTCCTGGGGGGTAAAGTTCTCTGAAATCCTGTGTCTGTAGTCAGTCTCCAGAATAAAGGATTAGGTTTTGGTTTTGTATATTTTAAATTCATGACTTAAATGTGTGAACCATCTATCTCCTAGAGAATATTGTTTTTACTCACAGTAATAACTCTCTTTTAAATTCTAGGCCTAAAGTAAGGACTTAACTAACCTGAACTATTTTTTTTCTCCACCATATTTAAGACCATTTTGACATGGAAGCCTTACTGTTCAGAACCTTAATTTCTTAAACACTATCTTTACTCAGGCAGACGTTTTGTTTTTTGGGGTTTTTTTGTTTGGTTTTTTTTTTAAGGCAGACATTCTTAAGTTCATGATAAGGTTAATTCCTTAAAAGATGTTAATAAGGCTTTTGTGCTAAAGTGGGATTTCTGTTAAATAAAAAGTACTCTGTAGTTGAACACTTTCTTCATATACACTGGTTTCTCTGTCATGTTTATTCTGAGTGAGACAGAGTAATAGTTGGAAGTACTTAAAGGGAGGATCTAGCCAATGCAAAAGAGGGTCATACTGCTGAGTCAAGTTGAACTGAGGAAAAGTGAACATTTTTGGACAGTTTGGTTGGTTTTATTCCCCACTTGTGGACTTGGGAATACTCTAAGGATAGGTAGCAGTTTTACTCCAACCCAGGGTTGACAGTCTTTCAGAGAAATTACAACACTTGAAGGAAATACCTGTGGTACTCTGCCCTCCACTTTTCCAGCTGTCTTCATCTGTCTACCCATTTCATGTCTCCCCCCCCCCTTTCCACTCACCACCCAACCCCTGTGATTTA